ATCTTTAGAGCATAACCATCTAAGTCCCAAGACGTTCTCAACTTGTTCAGGAGTTTTAAAGTAACCGTTACCAGCCCAACCCCTTAGGTTAAAGCCTCCTAGCTTTAAAAGTGTTTGAGCATCATTTATGAAATTCTCTTGCTCAGAAATACTGTTCACTCCCGTAAGGCAATTGTCAACATAAAAAGTTTTTAGCAAAGCCTTGGCTACATGTCTAAGATTGGTAGGAGCGTTTTCCAGAAGATTATTTAATACTGCTCCCAAAAGAAAAGGACTACACGACAAACCGAAGACAACTCTAGCATGGCGGTAAACGATCACGTGACTGTCTTCCTACCACAAAAATCTTAACATGTCTCGATCATCATGGTCAATTCTAATTTGTAGAAAAGCCTTTTCAATATCTGCCGTTAAAGCAAATGCATGTAACCTAAAATTAGTCAGTACCTTAGGTATTAACTCTATCAAGTTAGGTCCAGACTCAAGACATCCATTAACAGAATATCCATTTATGTCTTTAGCGGAAGCGTCAAAGACAGGTCTGATCCTCGTGGTGCTTCCCTCCTTGACAACAGCCCGGTGTGGTAAATAGTGACTTTTCAATGGCTGTGAAATGTTTTCATCTGTCACTCGCTCAATGATGCCTTTGGTCAACCAATCCTTCAATACTAAATCATAATCAAGATACATATTACACTGTTTCAACTTACGTGTTGTTGACAACAGATGTTTTTTGGTTACTTCACGGTTCGTATCCAGAGGGGGGTGGTCTTCAATCCAAGGTAGTTTTACCTCGTAGCGTCCATCCACATCTCTGGCGATAGTGTCTTCGAAGAACGCTAAAACATCTCTATCTCTCTCCTCTTTCTGTTGTTTGACACTCGGGTCCATTATACCCATTGTCTCTAGTTCCCAAAATTGCCTAATATCTTGTGAAGATTGGAAAGCCACAAACATGGAGGAGACAAAAGAAGATTCCTCGTCAGACGTGCCAACAATTGTCCAGCCCAATCGAGTTTTTACAGCTACAAGTTGCTCATTTACCTTATGAAACTCTGGAGTGATGATCTGTGTCCAAACGTCAGCTCCTAATAAGACATCAATACCAGTGAAGTCGTCACCGTCACAAGAAGAAACATCAGTCAGAAATAAGTTTTCTTTCTCTAAACGAGTGATCAAGCTGTAATCACAAAACTTAGGAACATGATTACAGATAACATGTTGTTCAACAACGTTGACACTTGTCCGAAAGTTCTCATTTATTGAGCTCAAATTTAATTCATAGGTGTTATGATATTTAGGACCGGTTTGTTTACCTCCAAAGACTTCTTGCTGGATCAGAACTTTACCATTGCTTGAGAGACTTAATTTAGATACACAGAGACTAGAAATGTAGCTTTTCTGTGAACCTGAGTCACATAAGATTCTAACCCTTTTCATTTCCCCATTTACATTAACAAAGGCATACAAAGTTTGTAAATAGGTAGTTTTACTTTTGTTGTTCAAAGTCGAAAATGAACTAGTACTTTGAACTGGAGTTTGTTTTGACTTGTCCTCACCACTCGGCTTGGATTCATTAGTGGTAGGGATCTTTTGACATAAGATTGCCAGATATACAGATGTGACATTTTACCTGAATCCTGCACTTACTTGCTAAGTGTCCCTTCTTCAAACATTTAAGACACAACCCCTTTTTCTTTGCAATCTCGGTTCTTTCTGAGGTTGTCTTATCAAAGATGGAAAAACAATCAGATGAATTGTGAGTTGATTTTCCACAAAATGCACAAAGATTCTTATTAGGGTACATACCTGGGCTCATTTTAGTATCCTGATGTCCATCAGACGATACAAGGACTGCTGCTGAAGGTGTCTTAGGCTTACTAGTTCGTTGTTGTTTCTGTGAATCTTCATCTACCTTGTTATTTTCACTACTAACTACCCCAAAACATCCTTCTCTCAAATTAAATCTCTCCTCTGCCTCGACTTCCGTCTTTAGGAACAACAATAGCTCTCGTAAGCAATTATCAGGCTCCATTGTGGTCACATTTTTGCCTACTCGATACCTTTCCCAAACTTTAAAAATATTCTCTGGTATTGAAGTTTCGACAAGAGGGAATAACATAGCGGCATATTTTTCCTTAGTGACGCCCAAAGTTTCAAGAGCCCGCAGCTGCACTTCAAGTCTATCATAGAGGTTAGTGACAGACACCTGGCTACTTTTACTTAACACTAAGGTCAACAGCTCCCTTACATAATACTCCATTAGTAATTCATCTTTGCCAAATCGAGATTTCAAGAGCTCGATTGCTTTATAATAGTTTTCCTGAGACAAAGGAAAACCCTCGATCAGTTTTAGAGCCGCGGAACCTGGTGTCATTGATTGAATTAAATATTCAAATTTATCCTCATCACGCAGACTCTGATCATTATGGATTTTCGAAAACTGTGACCAAAATCCAATCCAATTTTTGAACTGCCCGTCAAATTTCTTTAGTTCAATTTTTGGTAAACGAATTTTGGTTTCATGTTTAGAGGGGTTCAACTCATCCGGTCGCTGCAGGGAGAGGTTTTTACCAGGTTTTTGTATTGGGCCTTCATGTTGAACCACTTGTCTCGAAACTCTAACGAAGCGTCGTACTCTGCGTCCAGGTCAGCATAAGAAGTGTTCTCGCCTAGCATCAAGTCTTGTATCTGTTCATCCATAGTGAAGAGATTGTCACATGTTGCCTCCATACTTAAATATTGTGTTTCAATGGCTACCAGGAGTTCTTCTTTTGGCAAATCTTCTTTTAAAACATTTTCAAAATTATTATGTGCTTTCAAAAATTGTCGCCGAAGCTGTCTTCTCTTCCTGTTTAAGCGTATTAGATCATCTGCCATTTTTTATTAATTGACCTTCAGGTTTTATACAATAATTAATACTTCAAAATAATTTATTCTTCTAATAATCCTGGCAGGGTCGCCAAAAATGTAAACTAACTTCAAATATGAACCAATTCTCAATAAAGTTAAATAAAACCAGTCTCAACAACAGTGGAACAAATTTACTATTTCTTTTTTAACACACAATGTTTACATTCATGTTTCTTTTTTAACTATCATAATTAAACATCTGTTAATATATTATATCTTTACAAAGAGGATAATATTGAATTATATAACAATATTACATTTTATAACAACACTGATATTGAGTAAGATTCATCACATAGGTACGATCCTCTACTATGGGTATTATTTCACATTTCATACTCAAACCTAAACTCAATTAGCACTTTCCTTCAAATCTGTTCGCAGGAAAACTAATACATTATTCGAAAATACAAAATCCACACCAAAACATAGGCTACACATAATGTTTAAATACACTTAAAAATAAAATAACACATTGTGGTATAATAAGTTAACAAATACCCTTTTCCCTTGTTCGAAATCGTGACTGTTTCCCTTAGAGTGCCAGGCGAGAAATAAAAGTAACGCTCAAAAAATGCCGATGATTTTTCCCGAAGGTCGCGCTAAAAATGCCGAGCGCGATCTGGCGATTTTTAGGTTAAAATTTCGTAAAAATCGAATTTTCGATATTTTGACCAACGAAAATCGATGTATTGCATCTAGTAACTTTCGACTCAATGTTAATATATGGGTTAAAAGAATCCGAGTATCCATTCGGTTGTTATGACAACTGTTTGATCATTACGAAACGTCCGGTCAGCCGGACGTTGGCACTTTTGGCTCGTTCTAAAAACGTCCGGTCGGCCGGACGTCGGCACTTTTGGCTCATTTTAAAAACGTCCGGTTACTCAAAGGGTTAACAGAAACTCCAAGATAAATATTTACATACTGAAAGTGAGGTTATGAAAATAAAAACAAATGTCTGACAAACATTAAACAGCTGACAAATAATTGATAAACTGTGTATTTTTTCTTCAATAAGAATTGTATTGACTCGATCTTTGAAGGGCTGTAGGTCGTAGCCCTTAGAAAATACGTAAATTCTAAGGAAGTTCGGCAAATCTACGGATTATCCCCTTTAATTTGAGACATAAATCTTGTAGATCGGTCCAGTAATGACTGAGAAAACAGACTTACAACTGTGTATTAAATATATAAGAAGACTAGTATTAGAAATAGAATTTTTTTTAAATTTCTTGTTATTTAATTTTCAAAAATAATTTGTTACATAAGTGCAAATTTTTACAAACATTTCTGGAACTTGGTTGGATTAGCAGACAGTCGGTTACTCGTGTTTGGACTAGCAGGACTCAAATTTTACCTAAAACTTAAAAGGAGTGGCTTCATAAACCTTGAATACTGATATAGATAGGATCAGTTAATACTGTTAATACTGTTCTATGAAATGGCGACCATACAAAGTAGGTATTTTAAGCCAAGAATGAATGGAGATGAGTGTAGGATGAGTGGCGCGATCTTGTAGTCTTGTTAGTGACTAAGGCCGACATTCCTTAGACACAGCTGTTAATTAATAGCCCATACAGCTAATGGCAACTAAGGGACCTACAGTTTATAGTGGAATCCGGACCACATTTTTGCCTTGGTAATTACGAATTGGTCTAATTATCAGGATAGTACTGCGGATAGTCGTAGCACTCACCCGTGCGGACGTTAATCCACACTGGGGAGTATCGCATCCACAGTGCATGCCTATAAATATCCACAATTCGTGACCTCCTAGTAGCTGGATTACAGGACGACGCCACCCGTCCCAGTCGTGTGACAAAGTCAAGTAAATTATTCAGTATTCACACAGTTAACAGCTGTTCCTTCCAAGCATTAACAGATTTTGCAGGTTGCCTTGTTTCCACAGTTTAGATAATTAGAGAGCTGGATTGGGCTTTGTAGTAATAGGACCAATGTATCTGTACATTTTATAGATTTTTTGCTTTGTATTAGAATTAAAGTTAGTTAGCCAAAGATCTTTAAAATTCAGTATGATCGGTAGCTCAGCTACCATATGCTAAGTGCATGTTTACTGTATATACCTTTCTGTTTGCCAAAGAACACACAGAGCTTGGTGATGCCATTCTCAATAAGTGTTTGTTTGACAACATTGTGGGGGTCCGTAAGCAGAGCAGACACTGATTGTTGAACCATCTCATGAAGAGCAAACAGTTCATTGTCATAGCTCTGTCTGGGAGGCTCAGCGGAGGACAAACTCAACACTTGGCAGTACTCCAGAAACCTGGCATCAAGATACCAGTATAGTCGTTATTAACACTGATCATTCAATAATTTATTTATAAAACTTGACACTAAGTACTGTTAGTGTACTTTTGATGAGTTGTTGATAATCTTCCTGTGTTTGTTAAGGAGATCCATTGTATTTTCTTGGCTTCTATCAATCTAACCGCTTTTAGATTTGTCACAGAATTGAAAAAGTTAAGTCAAATCATTTGAGACTAGTTATAAATCAATTTTACTTGTACTGGGGACTAATTTCAATAAGGAGAAAACTGATTATGATGAACAAAAACCAATGAGATAAAGTGGCCCATCATATATCTGTGTAAACATTAGAGATAGATAACCGTTTACCAGATCATATGAGAAATCAATCCATCTGTGTATGAACCGAACACAATAGGAAATATAGAGGTATACATAATTTTATTTTATTGTAGTAGTTATATGTAACCAGTCCATCTTTGTCACTATATACATAATTGTATTGTTATTAATATGGTGCTTTCAAGCTGAACCACTCATGGGGAATTTTAAAACAACACAAACTTTTCATTGCATTTACTGTATCATGACTATTTCTCTGACAAATCTTACACCACACAAAATGAGAAAGTTATTGTGTTATAGATCTTTAGGAATATTCAAAAATAGAGACAATATCAAATTTCCGAAGAGATTAAAATAACATTAGAAAAGATACCTTAAAGCTGTTGCTGCTAATTCTGCAATATTCTCTGCAAAAGCTGTCCTGACAATGACTGCTTCATCATGGGCCACCTGAGATCAAATAAGCCTTGTTAACATCTCACTCAAAACAGTACATGGGCTAGTAGACTTGTCACATTGTTTCTTGAACTAATTTGTCTATTGCATCCTGCATAAAGATTTTAGAAGTAGAAAAAGGAAAATAAATAATCCAAGCCACCTGGATAAAGAAGCTAAATTCTGACATGAGGCTAGGGGCAAAAGGCACTAATATGAAGTACAACCCACCCCTATAATTCTATAATTCTAAGGTACTGGCTAGTGGGTACTTACGCTGGCCAGAGCTGGGAGAATGTATTCTGGGAAGACATTAGTATCACTGGGAGGAATATCTTGCACCAGACTGAGACACTTTGTCAAAGTATGCAGAGCACTCACACGCACTCTGTGTGATGGATCTTGGATCAGATGTAACTGAAACAGGGTAGTCAAATAGAAAACCGAGATCAACAGGTTACGGAACCAAATGTTCTGAAGCTTTAGCTGGCAACCAGCTTATATTTACAAAGTAAGAACTTTGGGCAAGTTTAAACAACAACAACATGTGCTAACTGTAAAATTGCCTTACAATGTACGGCAGTATCCTGTCCAAGACTGTGTCTGCTGACGTATGTGTGGCCAGTTCTAGCAGGATCTCCAGACACTGGATCTTTGAGTTGGCCAAGTGAAGACCTCTGCAACATATTTCCAACTGTAACTAACATACCCAACTTTCTGAACCCAGATACCTCGTGTCATTTTGTCATTATTGATGCTATCTGACGATTACTATTATTTTAATAACAAAAATTAGAATAATTGCTGCAGACAAGCCATAATGGCTTGTGTGGCTGAATTGTATGTGTTTTGTAAATTTGTATTTCTTGGAAATAAATAGATAAAATAATATGTGTGCAAACTCCAAATTCGAACAAAAGTTAGTTACGAACTACTCTGGTGATTGAAAGAGTTATTATTGGAACAAGTTTCACTTTGGTGTTAACACTGTTAACCAAGTACAGCGAACAGTTCTAGTTTTAATAAAACTTGTAAATTATTCCGTAATATTCACATTTGCGCTATTTATATTCCAAATCCTAAATTTGTTCTCGAGTATTCTCTGTATTTCGAGTGGTTATGAATGTTATGACGATCACTTCTTAAAGGGAAGTTAAGCTAATATAGTTGATAGCATTGTTGTAATTAATATTCTGAGCCAATAAACTCGAAACAATAATTCAATTTACAAACTCGTTAGAATCCTGGACTATCTCATTGAAGGCTAAATTATCTGGACAAATTAAAAGTGTGACTAATTTTGGGTTTGACAAAACTATAAACGTATTCCTGAAAACTACATTAATATTATTTGTCGTTTTCCCACATATATTGTATGAAAATATAACAATTTATTAATTTTGTCTCCTAACCCAAAATGGTGTCATAAAACCACCTATTTGAACCATTTAAAAATTGATTAACACCTCGTTCCCTTAACCAGATCTTGCAGGTGCCTGGATTCTTCCAGACAAATTAAGAATATGGAATTTAATAATGCAATCAATGTCTTTGCTAATTTGGTCAATAACTTTGTATGTCAATACTAACAAGGATGTAAGCTCGTACAATGGACCTATATATCTATACACCTATACACTCCTACCCGGAGTCATGGATATGAAACACAAGTCCCTTGATGGACTTAGAACTAAACACTAAACTTAAGTGAAATAAGTTTATTAAGATTTTATTTGTTAAGCTACTTGCCCTAAATAATACAATAGACTCCCCTGATAATGTAAACTTACATTTAAGTAAACTTCTACTAAAACAATATCAATTTTGTGCAAACTATTACTTTTCTAAAATTATTAAAAAGGCATAAAATAATGATTAAGTTACCTTATACAAGATGTAACAAGTGAAGTAATTATAACTAAAGGATCATTTCTGCTAGTCTTCTTCTCCTCTTTTTCTTTCTCTCCATTTTGTTCTTCTTTTATATCTTCTGTTTTCATAAGGTCCACAATGTTCTTGATGTCTTTTTTCAATCTGAAACAAATAATGACTTAGTAGAAAGCACACTAACTTGTTCCATGAGTTTTTATATTAAAGTAGCTTTTTTCAGAAGCATTGCCTTGATATCTTTACATGGATGTCAAAGATTATTGAGAAATAAATCAAGTAATTTATTGTTTTAATCAAATGTCTGATGTTTGCCAAAAAATTATAAACAACAGTTTTGAGAATGAGTTATTCAAATGGTGTGGTTTACTTACACTAAAGTGATTGCCGTGCAAGCACGCTGCAAATCTTTACTTTGACCATTTTCTCCAAATTATTACTCAATACAATATATGCAGTATAGGTACTGTTACATTCAAACCTTTCAATTTTTTCATCTGGTGACAATATAGGAGTCGATGAAGAGAAAATCAACATATAAGACTGCAAAAATGTGTAGAAATATTCAGGGAAAACTTTTCCTCTTTCCTGGGATAGGTAATCTTCTGCAGAACATCTTTTGCTAGATTCTCGTTGAACCATGCTTTGAACCAGGGCCTGTAATAAAAAGTTACATAAAACTAAGAAAATATTTTGAAGTATAATGCAAACTTCAAAATCAGTGGTGTAAGTTAAGTAGGGGGGGGGGGAAGGCAGCAGTAGGACATAGAATTATATTGTTAATAAGCATTACATTAGTTTATCCGTTTATGTCCCAAAAAGTCGGGGGTGGCAGCTGTTCCTCGTGCTTACTCTAATTGCTACCACGGCTTAAAATTATAACATAAAGTGGAAGGTCATGAATCTTAGACTAGGCGCACATGAGTTATTATTTTGGGCGATTATTTCATTGGCCGATCTGTGCATCATGTATTAAAATAGAAGCGCGCACACAGGCAATCAAGAATTGTGCCGATTTTAAAATCTGGGTTTTGCTACAGATTCCTAGGCGAGGCGATTGTCAGGAAATCTGTAACGTACAGGTTGTTATCAGTCCGCACACACGGTCGACAAAAAAATCGGCCAGTCGCTTGTTGTTCTCCACAGGAGTCAGTGAACTTCAGGGTGAGTTGTGTTGTTTTCTTTGATAAAAAATACCACATCTGTTATAATAAATACTGAAACTTTCAACAGACATTCTATAGTTATTAAAGAACATTTTACTGTCATCACGTAAAGTGTATAGTTTATAAAACTATCAATTTAAAAGTCTCTGGCTTACTATCGGATGAACCCAATATTTAAGTTGTCTTATTTTTTTCTTTGATCTAATTAGAAGAGCACAAACACAGGTTAATTCAACAAAGTCCATTTTAGAATAGCTTAAACACACTCAAAAAAATCCATTTCTCGACTAAAAAATCACGTGTGCGCCTAGACATAAATCAAGGGTGAGTGTGCGCCAGGCCTTAGGTTTGCCCACTACCAAAGCAGTTTGCAATCTTAAACTATCTTAAACTAAGTGTAAGTGTGTTAAGTGCATGTTGTACAAGAATTTATTTGCAGTTAAAAAATAATTGTCATGAGAGCCAAAACCCAACCAAGTGGGTCAAACTATGATTTAAATGCTTTGATGATCCCTTCAATAATCAATGAAATATTGGTTTAGACATTTTACTGAGTTTAATTAAATCAGACTATTATATACTTTAAAAACTAATATTATGTGCCTCACATAGGTGTATAGCATGTGCTTTATCTCACTATAAAAATTACTGATTTTCACAACTAAAACACTGTTTTTAATTTACATAATGTTTATTACATATTCTCCTATTTAATACATACTCCTTAAGCTTGTGAAAACACCATGTTGAGTCTTATTCACAACTAGCAACAGAGCCCGTTGTGGTTAAATACAACTGTCTCTAGTAAAATAATGGTTGTGAAATCCATAGACCACTTTACTCACTAATTACTACTATTAATCACTAATCTAGGGGTGTGCGATGCATCGAAAATGCATCGAAATTTCGATTCGATTCGATTCGATGCATCGAATCGCGATTCGATTCAGTGGTGGTCAAAAAACGATTCGATTCACGAGGGAGTCAGTATCCATATACGAAAAACGCCTGCAGAAAGTCAATGCAATACCCGCAATACAGGAGCGCGTTGCTGTTGCGTTTCCTTTACGAAGGCGTTCTTATTTAATACATTCTTTGCATTAAATATAGCTTTAATTGTTTTATATTTTTTTGTTTTGACATTGCAAATGATTAGAGGTTTTGTTTTTTGTCTTGATGTAAGCAGTGTGTGAAATATTTTACTACTGTGAACCTAGCCAAAACAAGGTAGGTTACTCCAAAATCATTTTAAAAATAAGTCTGAAAAATTGTTACTTAATACTTAACTAGTAAGATCAATGTTATAGACTGATACATTTGGTATTTTTGTTAGGTGTCTGTCGGTCCCCGTCCCCGAATTTTTGTTGGGGCAAAAGAAAAAAAAGAATAATTTATTTCCAAAGAAACACTCTTATATTATTATATCTATTACAGAGGAATTAAAATGTTCAAATGAGAATTAAAAATTAAGTTGGCTCACGACCTTTAAGAATAAAGACACAACAGAGCAATTGCCGCACTGCCACTAGCCAGAGCCAGGTCTAGTCGTCTACTGATAAGAGTAACAAGACAAAAGCCGTGACGCAACACTAACAGTGCAAAGAAAACAGAGTCAAAAGAATAGAAAGACTATTTATCCAGACATATTAGTATAATCATTTATTGTTCATTCAATACCTAATTAAAAATATATTTAGTATTTTACATAATAAATTATAAACAAAAGAAATATCTGATATAGTGAACAGATCTGTATCTTGGTTAAATAGTGTTAAAAAAATATATTTCTAAGATCCAATACAATATTTACAACTCACAAATTACATTGAATTAATTTCTTTGAAAATAATCTCTAACAGTTTTGTGTTTTTGAATAAAGAAATATATTTCTTTGTCTCTACTTCCTTGTTTCATCACTTGCATTTTGTCAGCAATTGAAGCAACTGGGTAGCAACCGGGTGGTGTAAGAGGGGAGGGGGAGGGTCTATGACCTTGAATTCACACATCGTTGCCCGGGCCTGGCTGGTGAGACTGATTCATTGTTTTTGTTGACATACTACTACCCTTCCTTAAGAGAAAAAAAGCCCTGCTGTTCCAAAAACATTGAGGGTAGTTTAAAAACATTGACCTGTGTTGCCAAGGGCACTAGAAGATAGCATTTAACTTTCTTGTCTCTTGATTTAATATTATTTTAATCTTCTATATATTATTTAAGAGTTACTTTTCGGGTACCTAATTAGTTGTGATATTGTTTAGCTTCATTTTATGGATTTTTAATTCTTTTCATTCATTAGCTATCAAAATCAGTTGTTTTAGGATTTTAATCTCTTGCAGTACCGGTAGGTCTATACTACTGTATGACATTATATGCATTTTTTAGTCCTTATTAATTATACCATAAACAATGTTTGTATGTTATTTACTGTTTTTGAGTTTTATAGGAAATTAGTTTACACAATATCTTTTCTTCAATGAGTTCTCTACTTGACATGTTGCTTCCAGCCTATTACTATTTTAGGCCCTATAAAAATAATGCCTATGTAAAGCTGTAGGCCTACTGATGCCAATAATAATTCTTTATTTATGATGATGTAACAAATAATGTAAGTGTGAGGTTATTATACTAAGGAGGTTAGGAGGCAGGGAATGAATGATACATGTTGCATGGTGGAAACATATTATTTTTATTTTCTTCTTGCTTGCAGTCCTGAAGCCGGTCCACAGGCCCTAAACTTGTGATATGTAAATTTATTTCTTAATGGTCTTTTTATATTAAGTTCCATTCAAATTTGTTGTAATTTAGCTACCGGTACCTATTTAGTTATTTAAACAGTTATTAAAATGAGAATGAGTGTCTTGATAAAAAAAATATTTTCTTCTTTCTTGCAGTTGAGCCAATTCCAAGTAAAAATTATGAAATAGGCAAGTAAAGCAGCTCACTGGTATTTCCAGCAGTTATTCTAATACATATGATTGAAAATAAATATTTTTTCACCTAAAATTCATATGTAAGTATGAATAGGCCTAATACCACATCAACAAAAATTTGTATTACACAAATGTGATAAATTTTAATTATTGTTAATCCACTCAATTGACAATTATGAATAGAAAAATACCGTATTGCTTCGAATCGAGTTGCATCGAATCGAATCGAAAATCTTTTGAATCGAATCGTTGCTTCGAATCGAAAATTTTTTGCTGCTTCGCACACCCCTACAATCACTATTAATGGTACAGATTAAGCACATAACATTAGAATCGCATACTTAACATAAGGAACTCACTTTAAACACAAATGCAAATTGTGAACAACAACATGGAATCAAAGAAAAATCAAATAAATAACAATATAACAATAAGCTGTTAAATTATTAACACATGTTTCGTATGTTTAGATTATGCATACTGGTAAACCAATTATTGCCATCTATAAAAATTATTGGTTTTTCTTTTCCGAGTAGGGTTAAAGGTCTTCTACCCGAACGATTTTCATAATTTTGGACTTAAACTAAAGGTATGCAAGCACATATTTGTCATCAAGCATCATTGTTAATTTATCTAATGTATTACTCAACGAAAAAATATAAATTGGATTTTTTTTATTTTTTACTTCAATTAAAGATGTAGGCATATTCCAGCAGTTATAATAACATTACTCTATATGTTTTGGTCTAAAAACCTTTAGTGAAATACCAGCTTTCATTTGAGCTATTGATTATTGAGATTCCAATCTTAATAATCCTATCTAAAGCACACTGCTGAATCACGAATAAACAATAATTATAATCGTTTTAGAACTTAATCTTCAATCAATGATACGTAACTCAAATTTTATTTAAGTTACTTTATATTTCTTCGTCTTAAAATATTTCAAAGGCTTTCACTTGAGATATTGACAGTTTTAATCAGTACAGTTAAAGATATACTTTATCGCTCAATCAGAAAACATAAATTTAATTATATCTTTGATATGGAATTTAGTTTTAGATATATTAACTCAATTCTAATTACGTTATTCTATTTGTTTTGACCTAAGAACCTTCAGTGAAATACCAGCTTCCATTTGAATTATTGATTATTAAGATCGGACATACCACACTGCTAAATCACAAACAACCCAAATTTTTTAAAAAATGGAGTTATTTATCATTGATTTACGGTCAAACGGTCTTGCTTGCAACCTCAACAGCAACTGTCAGAATTGACAGGTTTCACCTAGTAAATCTTTAAAAAATCTAACTTTCATAATTATTTGGAAATCTACACGAATTAGGATTTCCAATGACTTATTAATTAATAAAATCGGTTCAGTAGAACTGTAGATTTAATTGTACAAAGTTTAACAACAAAATCTTTAGTTTAGTATTTTGTCACCATTATAAATTTGGAGGTTGCTTAACGTTTTTGAAAATAACTTTGAAATGGTGAGGAAATCGACCAAAGTGGAAGGTGATATTCTGATAGAGAATAAAATTTCCTACAAATTACTTTTATGTATTTCTGGAAATTACTCAATAAAGGCAGACTAAAGTTGGCTACAAATATTAACTTGGAAATATAATCTTGGAAAAAAGGCGTTTTAAATGTAATATTGTTTATTTTTATTGTTTTGCCTTAAATATGTAATAAAATCAAACTTTCAAAATTATTTGCAAATCTACACAAATTAGGCTTTCCAACGACTCATTAAATAACAAAATCGGTCCAGTAGAAGTCTAGATTTAGTTGTACAAAGTTTAACAAAAATATATCTAATTCAGTATTTTCTCACTACTATAAATTTGGAGATCACTTAGATTATTGCCAATAACTTTTAAATGGAGGGGGAATCGACCAAAGTGGATGTCATCTTCTGAAAGAGAATAAAATTTCCTACAAATTTATACCATACACTTCTTGGAAACACCAAAAAAGGCCGCAAAAAGTCTCACCCAAATAAAAAGTGTGAAAAACATTGTTTTCCATGTATTTCTTATGGAAAACATGTTTTTTATTATTTTTCACCATAAATCATAACAAACACAAACTTTCATAATTATTTGCAAATCTACACGAATTAAGCTTTCCAACGACACATTAATTAATAAAATCGGTCCGGTAGAACTCTAGATTTAGTTGTACAAAGATTTTTAAAACTGAATTATATATAGAACCAGCAACAGAGCCCGTTGTGGTTAAATACAACGGTCTCTAGTAAAATAATGGTTGTGAAATACATACACCACTTTACTCACTAATATTAATGGTACAGCTTAAGCACATAACGGTAGAATCGCATACTTAACATAAGGAACTCACTTTAAACACAAATGCAAATTGTTAACACCAACATTTAATCAAAGAAAAGTCAATTAAATAACAATATAAGAATAAGCTGTTAAATTATTAACACATGTTTCGTATGTTTAGATTATGCATACTGGTAAACCAATTATTGCCATAGCCTATATAAAAATTATTGGTTTTTCTTTTCCGAGTCGGGTTAAAGGTCTTCTACCCGCCCGATTTTCATAATTTTGGTCTTAAAATAAAGCTATGCAAGCACATATTTGTCATCAAGCATCATTATTAATTTATCTAATGTATTACTAAAAAATATATTTAAATTAGATTTTTTTTACTTCAATTAAAGATGTATTCCAGCAGTTTTGGTCCCCTATAGTACCCTATATGTTTTGGTCTAAAAACCTTTAGTGAAATACCAGCTTTTATTTAAGCTATTGATTATTAAGATTCCGACCTTAATATTCCTACCTAAAGCACACTGCTGAATCACGAATCAACAATAATTATACTCGTTTTAGTACTTATCTGCAATCAATGATACGTAACTCAAATTGTATTTAAGTTATTTTATATGTCTTGGTCTTAAAATACTTCAAAGGCTTTCACTTGAGATATTGATAGTTTTATAAGTTAAGTTTAAGATATACTTTACAGCTCAATCAGAAAACATAAATTTAATTATATCTTGGATATGGTATTTAGTTTTAGATATATTTCCTCAATTCTAATTACGTTATTCTATTTGTTTTGACCTAAGAACCTTCAGTGAAATACCAGCTTCCATTTGAATTATTGATTATAAAGATCGGACGTACATAAAGCACACTGCTAAATCACGAACAACCCAAATTGTTCAAAAAATGGAGTTATTTATCATCGATTTATATTCAGACGGTCTTGCTCGCAACCTCAACAGGAACTGTCAGACTTTGACGGGTTTCATTTAGGAAATCTTTAAAAAAATCAAATCTTCATAATTATTTGCAAATATACACGAATTAGGCTTTCCAATGACCTATTAGTTAATAAAATCGGTTCAGTAGAACTGTACAAAATTTAACATCAAAATCTTTAGTTCAGTTTTTTCTCACCATTATAAATTTGGAGGTTGCTTAACGTTTTTGCAAATAACTTTGAAATGGTGAGGAAATCAACCAATGTGGAAGGTAATAATCTAATAGAGAATACAATTTTCTACAAATTACTATGATGTATTTCTGGAAAATACTCAATAAAGGCAGCCTAAAGTTGGCTACAAATATAAACTTGGAAATATAAACTTGGATAAAAAGGCGTTTTAAATGTATTATTGTTTATTTTTATTGTTTTAGCTCAAATATGTAATAAAATCAAACTTTCATAGTTATTTGCAAATCTACACGAATTAGGCTTTCCAACAACCCATTAAGCAACAAAATCGGTCCGGCAGAAGTCTAGATTTAGTTGTACAAAGTTTAACAAAAATATATCTAATTCAGTATTTTCTCACACTATAAATGAGGAGATTACATAGCTCATTGCCAATAACTTTTAAATGGAGGTGAAATCGACCAAAGTGAAAGTGATATTCTGAAAGAGAATAAAATTTACTACAAATAACTACTATGAATTTCTTGAAAATGCTCAGTAAAGGTAGCCAAAAGCTGGCTACAAATAGAAACTTGAAAACATAAACTTGAAAAAGCAGTTTTTAATGTATTTTTGTTATCTTTCCTTTTTTACCACAAAGATTAATTAAAATCACACTTTCATAATTATTTGCAAATCTACATAAGTTGGGCTGTCCAATGACCCATTAATTAACAAAATCGGTCCGGTAGAAGTCTAGATTTAGATGTACAAAGTTTAACAAAACTATCCCTAACTCAGTATTTTCTCAATACTATAAATTCGGAGGTTGCTTAGCTTTTTTGGAAATAACTTTGAAATGGTGAGGAAATCGACTAAAGTGGAAGGTGATATTCTGAAAGAGAATAAAATTTCCTACAAATTTATACCATACTACACTTCTTGAAAACACTCAAAAAAGGCGGCCAAAAGTCTCACACAAATACAAAGTTTGAAAAACACCGTTTTCAATGTATTTCTTATGGAAAACATGTTTTTTTTTAATTTTTAACCATAAATCATAACAAAAACAGACTTGTCAGACTTTCATAATTATTTGCAAATCTACACGAATTAAGCTTTCAAACGACCCATTAATTAATAAAATCGGTCCAGTAGAACTCTAGATTTAGTTGTAAAAAGATTTTTAAAACTGAATTATATATAGAACTAGCTGTTGTACCCGTGCTTTGCAACGGGAAGAGGGCACAAAATAGAAACTTTTTAACCTTTATATCTGTTGCATATAATAGTTACACATCCGCCAACGCTTTTAGAAACAAAATTCAACTTTTATGGCCTTAATAGAAACGTTTAAGTTATGACTTTTAAATCTGGTAAGTAGTGTATACCACATTTTGGTTTTGATTAATTTTAAATATTGTGTAGGCTGATATGAGAAACACTGACCAATGACATTTTAAATTTCAATTTTGAATATGCAAAAATACAAATTAATTAATTTAAATGAACATTTTTTTTATTTCACTCTTCTTCATATTAAATCACAAATCCTTCCATCTTCAGTTTCTTCACTAAAAAAAACTAAGTCAGCTGTTATAAGCTTTAGAAATATCGTTGTGCCTTATCAATAGTCTTTTGAAAATATTAAAGAAACTATATCTATACCATAAAAAATTTTAAACAAATAATTTAGCATTAAAGACAGCAGACAAAACTAATATGATTATCAAAGCGTCGAGGACCAAAAAATGTAATAGCAAATACAGTATAAGTTTCATTGCATCTCTGATTCTACTCTACAAAAATATCAACAAACAGCTTAATATACAAACCAGTTCTTTTAATCAGTTCCATCGTCCATTGCCTTTACATTTTCACACTTACTATTAAGTAAACATAGCAACAGATATTTAATTGATTTTAGAAACAAAAGAACACTGTGTAATGCATATTGTTATATACATTGTTATATACATAACCTCAGAACTTTTAAAGCCAAAGGGGCAAAGCCCACGGTCAGTATCGAAGTGTGAATAGTCCTATAATGGTCCTTGGTATGGTAGCTATATTTTTGTAAAATTTAAGCCCAGTGGGTTCAGTAGTTTTTGCACCTATTAGTAATACACATACAGACAGACACCATTAGATTTTTATATAATAGTATAGAAGTATAGATATAGAAGTATAGATAGATAGATAAATTCCCAATACCACTAAACCGTTAAGACAACCGTGCTAAAATGCGTTTCAGCTGATCGGCAATGTAATGAAGTAAAATGAAGCAGGGTTGCCAATATATGAGCTTGTTTCGTCTTAAAATAGTGTATCTCTGTACTAATTACTTTGGTTATTTAGAAGAAAAAAAACTTGTAGAAAATTACATATTTTATTTTTAATCATATGGAGTTATTATGGATTTGTTTCATGTCAAATTTACATGGACTTACATTGACTTGGATCTTGTATTTTATAATTCAAACCTACTCTGCCTTCTGGATCTTCTATTTTATAATTCACACTTACTCTGACTCCTGGATCTTTTATCTTTTCCAAGTGCTTATCCACAGAGAACTCCCCACTGCGGTAGGCCAACAACTGTGAGAAATCAAATGGAGGCTGACCATCAGTGAACAGTTCTATCAGACAACATCTGCAACAATACTACAATCATCTGACTGAGCTACAGGGATTATTGCTGACATTTCTCATCCTTATTGGCAAAACAATTAATTTTTTCCTTAATATTATGAATGAAAAATTTCCGCAAGATGTTATTCCAAAAATTAAAAAAAACTAACTATCATCAAAACTAAAGTTCAAAAAGGGAAATTTTACAAATCAATGAATTAAAAGTAATTTGTTAAAATCAATGACTTTGACTTTAAACAAAAAACGTGCTATATATAATTACACAATTCAATAGAAATTTGTAAGTTATTTGACTCCGTCTTATTATAATGCAGAGTACCTGGGGACAGAGCTTTTCTCACGGAAAATCATTAGTATACTCTGAGAGTAGTCTTTGGTCAATGCTATTTTATCCTCATCTTCTTTTACAGTCTATTTCTAATCAGTAAAATGATAATATCGTAAATGAATTGTTAATGTAAGCAGCAGTTACAACTCTGATTGACTGTATAAATTGTGTTGATATTTTTGTAACCAACACACCTTATTAATCTAAGCTATTTTATTAATATCTAATTATTTACTACAGAATGCGCATTTTATTAATTCACACAAATAACCAGTTGGTAAAATTAAATATGTCCAGGCCCATATTTTCATGAGACGTTTCAGGTAAGAAATATATTGTTGACCACTTAAAGTTTTCTTTTTGGCTTCAACAATGTTTATGTGTACGTGAATACTGCACACTCAAAGTAAGAAGTGAAACATGAAGAAAGATCACATTTAATGTATAATTAATACCAAATTAGAAATTGGAATAACTTTAATCACGCAACCTTATTTACCTTGTCATCAGAAATTTTTAATTGCTTCACGAGGTATTGTACCATAATTATTAGTCATATATAGTAATCCAGATGCCATCAACATGGAATTCAGTTCAGCCTGTCAGGCAATTCTGGCCATACAATACAAAAACGTTAAGATAAAGCTGGCAAACGCAAAACATAAAATTTTACAAATACTGTTTAAAACCAAATGTCATCCCTAAATATGGCTGAGAAAATATGGATGGAAAAAATCTAAACATTTTTATTTTATTTTAAGAAGTCTCTACTTAACACTTTACTCATAAGAAAGATCTAGAATTAGCTAATGCAGCCCATTTTGCTGAACTGGAGTGCCTAGTTTGACATGCCAAATCAGGCGTTCTAGAGTCATGAGGAAAAATAAGGCCACAACAGGCAAGAAACTCACACAACTAGTTAATAATCAAAAGAATAAGGAAACTGCCATTATGTTTGATTTTTATTTCTACCCTAGTGCAATAAATAATAGCGACATCTCGTTTGACACTGAAGAAATGTGTTTATTAGATAAAGGCTTCAAACACAACCTCCCAATGACTGGTAAGCGAGGCATGTTCAGTGAACTAATTAATGCTGAAGTAGCAACAAATCAATCTCTGCCAACGACTGCAAGAATGAAGGCAGGTTATAATTATCACGAAAATTAAAATACAAGTACAAACAAAGCCCTGATTTTGGTAGTCTAACAATGTCGCATGAGTACCAAATTAATGATCTAAAAACATACTTTTTTTTATTGTCTAAGCACAACGCTATGCTTTGCAAAGCTGACAAGGGAAATACCACAGCTATAATGTCCAAAAAAAAATTACATTGCTAAAGTTGAAGAGTTTATCACTGCAACACTCCACAGCTGAGGTTTGCCAAAACGTCAATCAGCTGAGATATGCATTAAGCAGAAAAGGGGGGGGGGGAACTTCCCCTTCAAACCACCTAAATTTTGTGAACATACTATAATTAATAATACTGCTTCAAGGTACTGCATCAAATTTTGAATAAATTGTAAATTTAGTTGTAAATAGAAAAATACTTTGCTAAGGAAACAAATAAATATAGAGCTGAGCAGCTGAGTGCTGAGCATAGTGCTCGCCTGGTAATCAGCCGGTCGCTGTTTTGAACTTGAGAAAAGTCAGTAGCTTTTTGATGGTTCAAAATTTGGCATACTGGTCCTTGATCATTGGGCTTTTAATAAATTATAATATAATAAAAAGTTTAAATACCTGTTGTGATCTGTATTTAGTCAGTGACCAAGGTTTCAACAACCAAGTCAAAAATCCTCTTCATCCCTTGGGTTGTGAAGGGTCATCAAATAACACTTGTACAAACACGAAAACATGTACATAAATGTGGCCAAATTGTAATACTGGAAGCGGTCACGTGGTGTAGCCGGCAAAAGATGAGCTATGAATTTGTTGTAAGCTTGAAAATGAATCTTCAAGGTTCAAAACCTTGGTCCCTGACTAAATACGTACGTTAGAGCAGGTATTTAACCTTTAGATTATTTCTAAAGAAGGTGATCTAATGAGGTGGATAAACATACTTAATATACTATCCTCACTAATGAAACAGTTGACCATAGTCAGTAACAAAGCTACACATATCATCTCGCTCCATTCAACTCAACACTCATCTCGCATTCATATGGGATCCAAACAATAATGAAATAACTTGCTGAAGTCTAAATTAAGGGATGAGTCTACTAATTGATGAAAATGTGAGTAAGTATAGATGCAAATTGAGCTTATTTTTACTGACCCTGCAGAGAAAATGTCCATAGCAGGTGTTAGGTCCCCTTTCTTGATATTCTCTTCAGATGGCAAAAGCTGACTCATATCTGAGGCAAGGCTTTTCATAAACCTACAAAACAATAAGATATTTATAAGGGCAGCGTGGGAGCAAAACTCTGTGCTTTCAAAATTGTAGAAAACTATTGGAAAATGTGTTTAAGCATATGTTTATAAAAAGCATATGTTAACATTATTGTTTTTATTGAAATATTTATAGCTTGAATTTCAAATGACAAATTCGCCAAATTTCATTAAAATCCTATACTCTTATATGAACAATGTTTGATTGTATGTATGCATGCTTGCTTGGACAAAGATCTCAAAAACGGCTTCGACAATTTCCTTCAAACGTTGTAAATAATTTATTTCCGGCCTGAAAATTTAATGCAGTTAAAACTGCCAACAAAAATATAATAACAACAAAAATTAAATTGAAAAGTCAAACTTTTTTAACATTGACTTTATTTGCCAAGTAACCATGTTGGATGACCAAAATAACAAGGAAAAAGTAAACAAAAGACTTGTAACATGTGTTTATAACAAGCCATCCACAGTATACTAGCAAATTAAAAAATACAATACAAAGGGAAAATCATCAGCGAAACGGCACACGGAAGATTTCTCAGGTGCCGTTTGACGTCCCTATCAGCTGACGTCACTTTGAGGGAACACCAATACCGCAACGATACGGATTAGGGCATCGGCCTCGGTGGTGCAGTGGATAGCGATGCGGGCTGATAATCCGAATGATCCGGGTTCGAATCCTGCCGGCTGCACTAACTTTTTATCAACAATTTTTTCATATCAGCAAGTTTGGTTGGTTTGGTTAGGTTATGACAGTTTAATTTTATAATAAAAAAATTGAATTTTAGGCAATTAAAATTTTATTTTATGAACAAAACAATTTTTTAAATTAGTAAACCTTTATTCGATTTTTCCATTACAGTATCAGCACGTTTGGTTAGTTTGGTTAGGTTATGACAGTTTAATTTAATAATAGAAAATTATAAAATTGTCTGTTTCTTCAGACGCAGCAGTTAGTGACGTCAGCAGTTAGTGACGTCAAACGGCACCTGAGAAATCTTCCGTGTGCCCCGCCGAATCATCAGTTGTTACAATTGAGTAAATATTTAGATTACTAGAATATAACATATTCTATTATGTGAAAATTATTGTTCTGATCAAATACGGATTATTTTACTTGGCTCTCTCCAACCAAAACTTAATCCCCGAGGTACTGAGGTAACTATTAGTAAACTTTGGTTTAACAGTGAAATATTTTATAATGTTATATTTATTTTATTTAACCCTTTTACTGCCAACCGGTTTTTTATATGTTACTTGAAAAATGCCGGGTCTAAGGTAAGACTAATATGCGAAGACTGCCAGGCCTGATTTGAGGAAAATTCAGTATTTCACAAAAACTTGTGTATTTTTTTTATTTTCTATCAGAATTTGATAAATAAGGCCTTGTTTTGTTTCTAATAAACAACCAGTCTTCATAAAAACATATAATAATTATTATAGTAAAAAAAATTTATTGGACATAAATTTTATATGGTCAAAATTTTATTTTATTTTATTTTTTAGGTTTGGCGTATAAAAACTATACCTAAAACAAACACATGCATAAATGTAATTATTTTAGTTTGTAGAGCATGCATAGGTTATTACATAAACAAACTTTCATGCCCTTACCTTGAAAATTGTAGAAGTTGTGATGTTTTTTCGAAATGTCGTCAAATAAAAGTTTACCCGTTTAGGTGAAAACACTTTACTAAGAGTTTGTTCATGATCATATATACACAAGTGGCCTAAATGTTTTGTTACAATTCACAATAATGTACATTGCTAGAGAGCTGAAATAATGGTAACAAAAACTTATGTAGCCTACAAATAAATTTAAAAGAATATTTACAATATTTACAAATGAAAAAGTTCCGATCATTGACATTTATGTTCACCGAAACATGTAGGATGAACCCCTTTCTTGCATCTCTTGCAAACAGTCCTGCTCCTCTTCCTGGTCCCTCCTGCACTTGTACTTAGTAGGCTACACACAGAACAATTTCTTAACATTCTTCCGGGTAGAGATTCTAGGCCGAATCCAGAAGCTTCTCCAGCGTCTCCGCCACCGCCCACCTCAGCAACATGTGGCTGGTTCTTCAGCATTAGCCAATCAGTAGAGAGCTCTTCAATTATGGAGTTGGTATAGTTAAATCTTGACAGTAATTTACCGGAACAATTTTCCTTGTAAATGATATACGAGTTGAGAATCATCCTGCCAAATATATTAAACACGACCTTCTTCCAGTACTTGACAGTTCTGCGCTCATCTAAATAACAGTAGAGCATTTGGTCTGAGCCATCAATCCCCCCCATATACATATTGTAAGTATCTATAATTTCAGGCCTCACTTTTGGGTTTTCTTCATGTCTTTTCCTTCTTCTTACTTCCACTGACTTTGCAGATGCTTTTGTAGAGAGTAAAAGCACTGGTTTCTTTTGAGAAGCTTTTTCTCGATATCCCAAAAAAAGCGTGTTCTCCTTCCGCAAATACGTCTTCTGGCCAACAGCAAATTTTTCTTTCAACTGTGGAGGTATTCCTTTTCTATTTTTCCTAATTGTGCCAGTCATGTAGGTTTGGTTTTCGTAAAGGTGGTTCGCCAGAGGGATGCTCGTAAAAAAATTGTCAAGGAAGAGATGGTAGCCTTTTCGCAAATACTGACCTATCTCTAAGAGCTTGGTGACAACTTTGAATGCAAGGCCAGTTGATTTTCTCTTGTTCTTATTTCCTTTGTAGCAAAAAAAAGCCAAACAATACCTGGAGACAGAGTCACACAACATCCACATTTTGATGCCCCAACGATGGTGGTGCTTGTTGGGCAGGTATTGCATAATTTGCGAATGACTCTTAGTGCCAACCAGGCTTTCGTCAATTGATATCTCACGATGAGGGGTGTAATAAGTCCTAAAAATCCTGTTTGCATGATCCAATAGGGGGTTAAATTTAGCACAGGGGTCATAATTTGGATCACCTGGTTTAGCCAAAGTGCTATTGTCGACTATGTGGAAAAATTGCAATATACACTCAAACCTGTTCCTACTAAACATTTTTCCAAACCAAGGTGTTTGAAGTGATGATTTTGTCGACCAATAGCTTTGAATAGTTGGCTTTCTTACAAGACCCATATTCAAAATTGTGGCAATGAAGGCCTTCATTTCCGGCAGGGTGACATTTTTCCAATCCCTGGCACGTGAATTTGGAGTCAAGTTATGTATATGTGCAGTGATGTAGTCCCTGGCATACTGGTTGGTCCTTAGCACAAAAGAATTCAGGAGATTTACAGTAAAAAATAAATTAAAGTACGATATTGGAGGTGCATCATGTGGGGGACAATGTTTTGGCCCAGGCAATTCGTCAAAAGGAAAAGTATGGTCAAAACCAGGATCGTTACCTTCATCAAGGGAATCCCATCCAAGATGTTCATCAGCGTCAGGGTCATTTAGATTAGCATAAAGTACATCTTCCATTTCCATTACATCACCTTCTGGAATTGTGAAGTTGTTTACAACATCGTCAATAACTTCGTCGACTGTACTGTGGACATTAGCAGTGGGAGTAGGCCTAGGCCTATGTCTAGGTTGGGGGATTTCATCTTCTGAGTCGTCAGAGGGGTCTGAATTTACCATGTAATCAGGGTCTTCGTCCGTATCGTCCTCAAATTCTGGACCTAATCCTTCACTTTCAGAATCTGAACTGGGTTCTGAGCTCGACTCAGAAATATTGTCTACAAAACTATCGCTCACATCACCATCGTCAACATTCACACCGTCACCCAATAGGTTGTTTATTATTGTATTTTCACTCACCGGCGACCTATTTCGTCTATTACTCATTTTTACTAAAACTCAAACTAACCAAACACATGCATAAATGTAATTATTTTAGTTTGTAGAGCATGCATAAGTTATTACAAACAAACTTTCATGCCCTTACCTTCATCACAACATTACTTTTCTAGCACTAGTAAACACAAACAATAACAAACACCTTTCCATTCGCAAAACCCAACTAAACACAGATGACAAACGATCTAGACACAGTAGAGAAGGAATCAGCAACGCACAGACCAAGAGCAAACTCAAACTATGTAACTTCATTGGTTATAGGCTCTTACCGTATAAAATCGTCTGTAAACAGCTTTGTTATAGTCTGCAAATAATCCGAGTCGAATTTGGAGGGGTTTGGAAAGCATATAAGGCCAGTAAGTTAGAAAACATTGACGTGCTTTATAACGCACGTCGGCAATTTTCGCCCGATAGCCAACGAGCGTTATTGCGCACGTCGGCCATTTTAGCACAAACCCCGACGTGCGCATTTGCGCTCGTCGGCAGCAAAAGGGTTAAACTAGAATTTAAACAAAGTTGGCCCGTACTACGTACAGGAATCAAGAAGTCAATTAAAACAGTATAAAAATGATTCCATTTTACAATCAGTTTTAACCATTTATTTTGAGTTAGCTAAAAGCTCGCAAAACGGGACTATTATAGTCACTGCCATCTATAGAAACCACCTACCGCGACTATTATAGTCGCGTTGCCAGTTGGAGGGTTAATGAAAATGTCAACCGGGTGTCGATTTGACCAAAACTGATTCACACCGCGACCGCACCATAACCATCCCCGTAGTACTGTATGGTTCAGACACTTGGGCACTGACCAAAGAACTGAACCTTAGTTCGGGGAAAGAAACCAAAAAGAAACCTTATTGCTGGGTTTGAGAATAGAGAGCAGAGAAAATATACCGACCAGATCAAGATAACGGAGGTTGAGACACAAATGAAAAGAACAGAGGGCTAAGAGAAATGCATAAACACCCAGGGGTGCTTTTTAAAAGTAATAGGCTCGGATGGGCAGGCAACTATTAAAAGAGGTTAAGGGTGTAGCAGCACAAGGGCCTAGGTTTTTAGGATTTTTTGAGAGGATAGCAGGCTTACCTGAATGGACTCTTTCCCATTCAGGCAAGCCTGCTATCCTCTCAAAAAAATCCAACTATTAAAAGAGTATTTCAAGGAGTACCGCAAGGAAGACGATCACTTGGAAGCCCAAGAATGAAGAGAAATACCAAGTAATTAAAGACATCTCCAGACTGGGATCTACATTAGAAGAGGCAGGGGATAGAAGGGAATGAGAGGCCAGAATCCTCTAAGGTTTTAGTGGCCAAAGAGTTAAGATAAGGCACGGTAAGTAATAATATGCAAGGAATTTGGTAGTAGCTACTGTACTCAACACCAGTGTGTGTGAATCGACCGCCAATGCCACTTCAAGGCTTTTCAAATCGACACAATTGCTGTTTTATTGTATTTTTTTAATTTAAAATGCATATTGTATAGGCCTATAACTGATTGAAAGAAATAGGGGGTCACGTGCCATTTGTTTACAAGATAAATTTCCTATTTAAACTGCCAGAATTTGTCCTTATGGGTGTAAAATAGCTGTTCTGAATCATATTTAGTTTTAACTGACTACTCAATTCCCGTAGGTAGGACGGGCCAACAGTTTGTGTTATTTTAATTTGGAATAAATATTAGGCCTACTTGTTTATGGAAATATTTAATGAAAAATCCAATCAAACAAATTGAAATTCGCTAACTAGATGCCTCACCTTTCAGGAGCAATATAGCAAGTTCGCCTCCTAGAAGTGTCGAAGAAATATGAGAAATCAGCCGGGTTGTCTTCTGGCAGGTGAGTTGGTTTGAAAGATGCAAAATCTGACAACAAAACCCAATGCCACGAAGTCACTAGTATATTTTCCAACTTTATATCTCCATGGCAGATCTGTAACAGTTTATACATCATTTACAATAACATTTTTACTCTTTAGAATTGTAAAAAGAAATTGAGTTACAAATCTCAAATCTGATCACTTTGAACCTAGTAGTGTGGAAAGTTACCAAGAAATCAAGCCCCTAAAAATATGACCACAACCTAAAAGGCTTAAGTTTGCAAAAAACTTTTGAGGTCGATTACTATTGACTGGGTGAAAATAGGTGACCAAGTCTAGGTTTGACCTACATGCAATTTCGCTTTCAAAATATCAACATACCAATAGAAATACAAATGTAAAAAAATAAATTATTACCATTTTCAATATAATTTTTTAAACTATTTCACCTTTCTTAAAGGTCACCTCTCTTCACCTCTTTTGCAAAATATCATTGATATATGGAATGAAAATACTCAAGGCAGATTTATCTTAAAAAAAGCTAACAAAACCATTCATTAGGATTACGATATTCTTTGTGTGTAAGAATGCAACTGTCTGAAATCTCTAGCCCCAATATGTGTGACAAATGGAATATTCGAATTGAATAGATTTACTTCAAACGCCCAAATTGGAAAATCGTGAGACAAAAAACTCAATCAAGAAAATAAACAGCCACTTGGAATATATCATGGGTAAGTATGATTAAAGAATATGATAGCGTTACTATGCAATTGTCATGTTAGGCCTACTTTACTTTGGAGGAAATTGTAACAATTCAAATATGTACTTACCCCAAGACGATGGCACTGAAAGAGTGCATAAAGAATTTGGAAAGCAATCCATTTCTTCTCAAGCAAGGTTAGAAAGGGCCGTGTTGATATACGATCATACAAACTATATTTTATGTAACCTCTCATCAAAAATCCTGCCCGGTCAGTAAGCTGAAACCAATACCAAACTTTAACTGACAATTGATAAAAATTACAATCCAACTACATTAGACTCCCAATTATCCACTGTGATGAGTAGCTGAGTGTTGGATAATGCATAACTAACCTAATATTCCCGGGAAATAACTAATATTGAATGTGAATGTATAGTTAAACTTAAGTCATAATAGTCGTTTATTCAGCCATTAATTACATAATAGTATAATAGGCTATGTCAATATCAGTCTCACAAAGCTATAACCTTTCAGAGAAAATAAAAACAAATGCAAATTGACATTAAAGAAATAATTGAATACAGAAATAAAACAACAACAATATTTTTATCTTAACCAATACCAACATGTTAATGGGCCAAATTAGTGGTAGGTATGAAAATGTAGCTGATTTCCAAGTATAGCTGGAAAAGTCATATCTCATTAATTCTTTGGGGGAGTAAAAAGTATTGCCTTGGAATAGAAGTGTTTATCACTAGGAGCGAAAGTGACTCTTTTTGGTACGGAATTGTGTTTTACAAACGAGGCTCAGCCAAGCTTGGAAATACGATTAAGTACCAAAAAGACACTTTAGAACCGTGTGATGAACCAGTGTGTGGAAATAACCTTCTAATCGTTAAAAATTTAGACCACATAATTTAAGGTTATACAAAGTGGTCATCAATGTTTACATTTCTGTTATCTTATCTAACAGGGGCAGGCCGAGACCATGAAGCACCTCATCCGAAAATTGAATTATTGCGCACCCCAGACAATTGTTTTCTTGATGACCTTGCAAGTTCAGGCGTCCGATAAATGCCAATAGCTTCCCAATTAGTTCATCCTCGGGAAGATATCTTCCTCTAGCCACATTACCAAGAGTTATCATTCTAGCATCAGAGAGCTCGTCACAATCAAAAATCCGGTGATCGGCTGTCTCCTCTGACCTATCACAGTGCCTATAGAACGGTTCACCATCAAATAAGCCCATCCGTTGGAAATGTTTCCTGAATCCCCCGTGACCAGTTATCATTATTAATTTGATCTACAATTAATTTGATTCTTCACCTGTCTAGTCTCAGAGGTCAGAGTGAACCTTTTTAGAAGGCCTAAACAGAGTAAGCGAGTATCGACCCAGCATTTGCAGTGCTCTTCCTTGGCCCATGATGCAAACGAAGAACATGCGCTATTTTGTGAAATGCCACAGAAGGGTTGTGGGCCTATCATTGTTGTCGCAGAGGCAGTGTTTGCCAATCTGTCTGCAGCTTCATTTCATTTAATGCCTGAGTGTCCAGGCACCCAGCAGAGCGTGAGATCATTTCTCCTACCTAACTCAGACTCAGAAGCAAGGCAATCTCACACGAGCCTTGAATTGAATGCATAAGAGTTTAGTGCTTTTGAGGTGGCTTGATTATCAGTATAGATATTAATTGTTTTGTCTCTAGTCTGTTTAAAAGAAGATGTTCTCGAGCACAAATCAAGATGGTAGTGATCTCCGCTTGAAAAACAGTTGGGTACACACACCCCCCCCCCCCCCCCATGGAAGACAAATACCAGTGCCTTCGTTTATCCAGTGCACACCTGCTCCAGTGCCCCCATTTTTTATCTTAGAACCATCAGTATAGTAATCTAAATCACCTGCGGGGATGGGCCCTTTTCCGGCAGACCAATCCTTCCCATGGTATTAGTACTTTGAAAGGCTTTCCAAAGGAGTGTTTTTGGACATGTGATCTGAAGCTGCCTTCAGATCTAAATCATCACTACCACCTGAACAATTTTTGAATGCCCTTTATTGTTACCTGTGTTTATCCATTAGTTTTCGCATCTCAGGCGTAGGGCTGTTTTTCTTGCTACCACCATGATAAACATGTAGATGGGTAGCATATCGAGCAGACAATCTAGGGTCTGCTCAGCTACTTACGTACTTACGTCTTCAGGACAGCTACTTACTGCCCCAGTAGTTATCATTATAAGAGCAAGACTCTGAACTCCTGCTAAAGCTTTGACAGCAGCAGTAGATTCCATCTTAGGCCACCACACAAGTGAACCGTATGTCAAGGCGGGTCGAACAACAGATACATACAGCCAATGCATGAGTCTAGGCTGTAACCCCTATGTTCCACCTACCATTCGCCTCCATGCCATTAGGGACCACTTAGGCTACCACAATCAACGACTTTTTGAAGATGTGGTCCCCAGTGAAGTGATCTGTCCAAAATTACACCTAGATACTTCACCTGATTCTGCTTAGTGGTCCAATCCCTTCCAGTTTCTTCCTTCTTGTGAAGGATACCATTACAACTTTCCTAGGATTAATGGAGAGCCCAACTTCGAGACACCAACGGTCCACCACCCTTAAAGCTCTGTTCATAAGGTCATAAGGTAAGTTCATAAGGTTAATATGGTTCCATGGAACTTTCCAACCACAAGGATTGTAACAAAAAATAATGCAGTAGTACATTTTTAGGTTAGCAAACCGAAAAATTTACCATAAGTTTTTCTGTTCGCTATTTGGAGTTACCTGAAAATTATGATTTTGCTGACGATTTAGAGAACTAAAACCATTTTTTTTTCCTTCTCCGGACAGTATGATGAAAATATCTTTTAAGAGTTCTCTTAAATGTGTTGTACTTTAAAGCTCTCAATGAGGCTGGGGGTTTATTGAAAAACTGAATCTGCTTGTAATTATGGCTATTGTTTGATTTTTTAAGCCTAACTTGAGGTAAATTTAGATCCTGCTTATTTCTGGTATTGTATTTAATATTTATGTATTGAAGATCTGTCCATAAAAGAGAGTTGGTTTTCCTTTACATGCAATAAGTTTGTGTATATAAAAATAGAGGCAATGTCATTATTTTTAATTGTTTAAAACTATCCCTACAACTTTGAGTACCATCTAGATTGTTTAGTTTTCTTAACAAGAAAAAACTCTTGTTGGAATTAATTTTAGTTCCACTTCCTTAAAACCATAGAAATTTAACTTTTTGTAATTACTGCATGTGAGAGGCAGTAATAAAATGTCTTGTTTATGTTCACAAGTGTCAGTCCTGCTGCCTCTCCCTCTTCAAAAGCCTTGATTATGAATTTTACAATATGCTCTAAGTCTTAAGTTGTTGAATAGTTTGGCCTGAACCCGTATTGATGCCTATACAAAATGTTATTGTTTTGAAAATATGCATGCATTTGAAAAAGTATACAAGATTCAAACAATCTATACTTATTTAATACGCAAGCAGGTTTTTTGTGACATTTACTCCTCCGAAACTACTGAACCGATTGACATGTTTTTGGTGTCATTGGAAAGAGCGTAACGTTTAAGTTGTGCAAGAAACTTTCTTTTTAGGGAAATAATTAGAGAGTGAGGCCTGGGGGCCTTTTAAAGTTTCGTATTTCTCCATAAGATTAACATGGGAAACAAATATTGTTATGAAACTCCAGCTGTTGTCAGAAATGCTGTTCTGCTATTTAATTTAAATTGTTTACAAGGAAAGTTGTTTCTTGGTGCCATGTGATCAATGAATTATAGTTTTGCATATATTTTAAATCATATACACTATATAAAATGATAATACTGTAATCATACTTGGGAATAACGAATAGAAATTCTATCGAATAGCACTATTCATTAGTTTTTTTGGCTAACTTCTATTTTATTCGTTTGTTTTTAAATTAACTAACTAATAACTTCTATCAGTTACTTTTTACGGGACTAACTAATAACTTCTAACTAGTTAGAATTTTCAACTAACTTTCCCAATTATGTGGAAGCATCTCAAATACTGGTTATTTATTTCACGTGATCAGTGAGGGTTGCGTGCGGCCGTGAGAGGTCAGTGCCCTTGTAGACAAACAACGCGGGGGGTGGGGAAAGAGAAAGTCAAAGTCCAGTTGCTTTGGAATGCAGTGGGCCTGTGGAAGGGTAGTGACGGCCATTATCAACACCCCAAGCACTGATGGGTGGGAAGAGGAAATGTTTGTTTGGTGATTGATATATCATCTCAAGTGTCAAAACATTGTCTTTAGTTGATGTTCATTATCTGAAAAGTTTTATGTCATTTGTTTATGTTGTAGCAATGTAAAATGTGACAATGTTTGATTAAAACACAAGTACCAGGGGACCGATCTTGCTCGAGGTGTTTGATTATTGTTCAAGAGGTAAAAAATAGAGCTTATAAGCCTACAAATATTTTCAGTCTTACTACGATTAATTAAGTAGTAAAGTCAATTCGTTTTTGTTACACATCCACTTATCCTCAATTTAGTCTACAAAACTTTTTAATTTGGACGATCAATCTATAAAAGTCCACAATAAGCTTCAATCAATATAAAACTCATGATACATAACATCTGTTATCTGACGACCGTTATTGCATTAAGTCACTGGGATCGTGAAACGTAGCAACTATAATTACGGGATGGTGTAATAACGCATCAATTCGTGCGGTGCATCGTCGAAAAATACAAATCTCCTTGGCCTTTCCTTTAGATTTTTAGTACAATGTCAGTGTATATTGTTTTGCAGTAAAACACTTAATGTTTTTGAACAGTCGTAATTATACCTTTGGTTAGTAAGACATCATACAATGCAAATGTATATAATACAAGCAATTTTCAATAGCATTGAAATTGGAGGAAATCGTAGGAGCCATTTTTAAAATCATATCTTGCGCAATCTTTACTCATATTATAGTATATATTAGTAACCAAGATGTGACATTAAAAAATACTTTAAAACAACTGCCCAACGAACAACTAATTTCTACTAAAACTAACTTTATTTTCTATCAATTTTAAGTCACCAGCTCATTCGTATAATACTAGAAAGAGAAATGAGGTTATCCTGCCACATAGATTAAAGTTTTTTGAAAAGAAACCAACCTACACAGGATATACTTTTCTTAAACATATTCCAGAAAACATAAGAAGAGAAAATAATTTAAATAAGTTCAGGAAATTGCTGAAAGAATATTTAATACAACTGGCCCCTTACTCCATAGAAGAATTTTCCACCTCCCAGATATAACCTACTGTAGATATAAATATTTTTGTTATTACTTTTCATTTTTGCTTGGTTAACTGTAAATAGTAGATTTTAATTAGATTTAGTATTGTATTATATATGACGCTATTTACTGTACAAACTATGTACAAAAAATGAATAAAGAACTTTGACTATGACTATGACTATCAGTTAGTTTTTCAACTAACTAATAACTTCTATCAGTTACTTTTTAAACTAACTAACTTATAACTTCTATCAGTTACTTTTTACGGGACTAACTTATAACTTCTAACTAGTTAGAATTTTTGACTAACTTTCCCAACTATGACTGTAATACAGTACATTAAGAGATCTTAATTTAAATAATCACTAAGCAGGATTGAACCTTTGCCTATATGTTTCCTGGTAAGTGTGTTGTAACTGTTTCTCATAGTATATTATAGTATCTTGAAGTAAAACCGAATTATTCTTTTCTACATTCTCACCCTGTAGCAAAGCACAGGCAGGGCAACTAGTTTACCTACTAAAAATTGGTACAACAGCTATGGGCCGGTAGTTACAGGGATCTCTATTATCCCCACTTTTAATAAACGGTATCAGCAATCTGACACATACTTTCTCCCATAAGCTTGTCAACAACCTTTATCATGGGTAAGCGGTGGCAGTAACTATGATATTTTATAGGGAAAAATCACAAAAGTTGTAATAACTTTTGAACCGTAATTGTTAAAGCAATAGGGGGTTGCACTATTTTGTTTAGAATTATAAGGACCATAACACAATAATTTTAATCAAACTGACCTTTTTTCTTAAATCTGATTTTTTATTTTTTTTATGGGGATTTTACAGGAAAATAACATAAGTTACAATAACTTTAGAACCGTATTTTTACGGAGATGAGATTTGTACCATTTTGTTCAGAATTTAAAGGACTATAACATAATAAATTTTTATCAAAATCGGCCATTTTTGAGAAAATCCTATTTTCCCATTATTTTATGGGGTTATAACCATTAAAAATCTAAATTTTGAAAAAATGAAAAAACTCCTGGAGATACCATGGATTAGTACTATACTTTTTTGGGTTCAGGGGGACCCAATTAAGGAGTTACCTTATTAATTATTAAACATTTTGGAAAGACTTTTTTTTCAAATTTAGATTGAACAGGTAGGTCAATGGTAAAATTATAGTGTCAATAGTTAGTTTGATTAACATGTTGGAAATACCATAAAAATCTTCACTTTTAGTGTTCCTGTATTATACTTATTACATATTAATAATAACAACTTAATGTTTATGTACATAAACATACTGGATTGATTGACGTAAGTTGTTATTATTAAGTTAAACATCAATCCGTTCGCTACGAATCAATCATGATTATTACATATTACATTACACTTATTGGTTGTAATCAGTAGCTTATTGACGGTCGGTGAAGTAAACAACAACAAGCCTAACCGTTGTTGTGCAACCGATGTTGTGTCTGCCTGCAGGATGATGGGTCTCCTCACGCTAACCATATAGGACGTTGCTGTATCACGTACATTGCATGACATATTATTTCTTTTGATTTCTTTGCAATGGAGGGAAAATCCACACCCATCCTCAATCCACTTGTGGATGATTGAAAGTCTACTGTACTTAAATAGCTCTATCACAGTAATCTGCAGACTAGGAAAATCCATAGTTGCTTGATACAACTTTTGTCATGTTTCCAATAAAATGGAAATGAATTCGTTGATTTGCTATAAATAATGAACAGTTAACCCTTCCCAGACGGGTGACGGACATATCCGCCTAAGTCTTTGGCCATAAAGGACGGGTGGCGGGTATATCCGCAGACTGGCAGGTGCTTGAGCAGTAACCAGATGTTTCGCGGTACCAAGGCGCCACTTTCCTGCTCTCTCCATGGCTGCGCTCTCTCCCACACTCCTCGCTTTCTCCAGCGCCTACCCCTCTCCCACGTCACCCCCTCTCCCGCGCACCACCCACCTCTCCTACGCTCCCCCCTCGACGTTTCGCGCTTAACACTACGTTGTCTTTATTTATTGTTTACATATTGTTCTTTATTTATTGCCTAACGTTGTCATGTTTATATCTTCAAAGATGGGTTGCGGATATATCCGCTGCTTTTTTACTCATCCCCAGACGGGTAGCGGATATATATGCATAGTTAAAAACGAGTAAAAAATTATTTTGACAGTACTGTATAAGGTGTTCCATTGTGTTTATTTTATGTATACTTGTAAAACAAAACACAAATAAGGAAAATTAACTTTTATTTTTTCCTGTAATTTTTTCCCGTTCTATGTCACGATTTCGCCTGTCCGGGAAGGGGCCTAAAACACAACAAGATATTGATCCTTGTAATGTTTATGAAGTCTAGCGAAAATACACAATTTGCTAGATAACTTAGTAGCACATAACAATCACATGTCATATTCCAACTACACATTTTGTTCATAGCAATCTATATAAATAAAATTAGAGTTTTGTCTGTACTTTGCTCAGAATTATATACTTTTAGGTTATTTTTACGTTTTATACATTAAAGAAGCAGAAACGAGTCTTATCTCTATTTCTGTCTGTCTGTCTGTCTGTCTGTCTTTCCCTTTGTCTGTAACACTCAAGATGGCATTTTACGCAATCTTCTCCGTGAAAACCAGAGTACCTATCAAGATCCAAGTCATTTTAATGTATTCACTGGATTGGCGAGAGTGTCTTTAGTGATTTAAATATAGCCTCACTACTTTGTAAATAAAATTACGGACGTTCAAAAATGCAGTTTTGTGCGATTTTTGTCAAATTTTCGTTCAATTTTTATCACATAATCGTCTATGAAATAACGAACAGCTGTTCGGATCAAGATTATTTTTTCTAGCTGTCAATGATATGTTTACAAATGTTGTTTACAAATACCGCAACCATTTCGAATCACGTTTTGAAAGCAAATCCCAACCAAGTGAGATTAAAAACGTTTTTCTTAAAAACGGATTTAATTAATCGCAAGTGCAATAATATAGTCTAATAGTGTAACCGTAAATGAAATTAAATAACTAGACATCGTCCAAATCTGAACCAGAAATTCTTTGAGTATAAAATGTTTCTTGAGTTTTGACAACCAGAAAGAAGACCTTGAATCAGTGTTGTATAGGGCTGGACACTGAAATGATCGTCGCCAATAGCTTACAAAAAAGGTTTCCACTCATTGACGGCGCTTCAATGGCGGTTGTGTAAAGTGTAAAGTAAAAAATCACAACTGCAGTGGGTGATTGTAACAGAGGTTTAACAGAGGAAGTGCTAAACTCGCTTTTCCAATGTGTCACTTTCTGTTTCTACTCACCGTGTGATGCAATCGCTGGACCATACAGCCAATAGGCCCATAGCTCATATCTTGGGTACGTAAGCCTACATATTTATTCATAACAACCTTTTTGACGACGATCCTTGATACCGGTACTTTTCCATAGAATACATGGCCTACCTACTTAAGAAATATAATTACAAATGACCAAAACCCCAACATTGTGTGATTTTCGTCACATTTCCTTCTAATGTTAATAGATATACTAATCATTGTTAAGCGAATGCGTAATCTATTAAATAACAAAAAGTTGTTTGGGTAAGGTTGTTTTTTTTTTTCAAACTGACACCGATAAGTGTACGCTATAACTTTTTACGAGAAAATCCAAAAGCAAGAGATCAATAACCTCGGGACTAGATATTAATGTATTTAATTGGTCGGATGTAGGCCTACTATAGTTCTTAGGTAGGTTCTTACGTAGGTACTGGTTCTTTTCCTTAGAACCGTTGGTAGCTGCTAGAATCATTTTTACGTAGGTACCAACACATCACTGTAGTTTACAAATTAGTTATCGTTGGTGTTGCACCTTATTTATTAGAGCCGTCCGTATTCAATTTAAGTGATGTCTTAACTATGTATAAGTTTTGCTTTTTCTGTCTGGATTCCAAATCTTAGCTTACCCGGTATGCTAAGAAAATGATAACCTATTTCAGTAAAACATTTGTTGGGCAAACCATCATGAATTGTTTACGCCTTTATATTGTTTATGTATCAATAGTTCGTGGCCTTTTTTGGATTGTTGTGTGTATGTCTGTTGGTAACGCATTAATGTCCTTATTTCTCAGTGTTTCACGGAATGGACAAGAGCACCTTTGATACTGAACATGTCAACCGGAATAAAGTGTTAAATGGTGAGGTTGAGGTAGTACTTTAAATACGTTTAAGTTAACCGATGTGGAAAGTAACTTTCAATTATAGGCCTACTTTAGGGCTACGCTTCATGGATCTATAAAACATTTTTTAGTTTAATCATTGGACATATGGACCATAACGATCCGGGTGACATTTAATTGCGAAGCATTTATTTTGGCTTGAACTGTCAGATACTGTATTTGCGAAGGTTTATATATAATAGTTTTGCCAGCATATCTGCAAATATGCAAACTAACTGCTGTTCTTAATCTTAATATAAGAAGGTTTCAACTGACTACTATAAGATCCCCGTGCGTAGAACGGGCACACAGCTAGTGTAAAATAAATTATGAGTGGTAGACTGTAAATTATGTGTGTCATGACTTACAATGACTCGCTGACAGGGCAGACAGTTGGTGGCAGATGCTAGTTTGCTACGTATCTCCTCTATGCGGTCGCGGTAAGTAGACAACGGTAGTGTTGGGTCATGAATAGCAAACACCTTCACCACAATCAGACCCTCCTGGGATCTGGCTCTGGCAACTTTGAAGAACCTGGTGCTGCCTAAACTGAATACAACACAATTTAACACTTTGGTTTATAGAAACAGTTATTATTAATAGACAAAATAACCATTTTATATCACTCATTTGTTAAAAACAAAACACAATACATACAAACTAAAAAATATTTAAACAATAGTTTGTAACATACTTGAGTCAAAGTGTTTCCAATATAAGAGATAAAAGATAATAATTTTGTTTGTGAACGAAAGAGAAAACATTCAATCGTTACATTACTAGGCCTTATGAAAAAGTAATAAAATAATTTTTTCAATCCATACTAGAGGACCCATGCTGCTCCGCAGCATTGATATAAATATCATATCAGAGAAATAATCAAATTTATGATTTTTGATTGAGTAATACGGTATCTTGAACTTAACTGATTCAAACGACCAATAGCTCAAATTAAAGCCTATAATTTACTGAATATTTTGAGTCTAAAGCATATATAAAAACAAACAATACTGGAGCTATTGATTTTTTACCATATAAAACCCTTATAAAAATAATTTTTAACTTTGTTGTTTACCATGTGTTTGCTTGAAACTCGTCCCATTTGAATAACTAATAGCTTAAATGAAAGCCGGTATTTCACTGAAGGTTCTTAGACCAAAATATATAGGATTATATAATTATAACTGGTGAAATACATCTTAAATTGAAGTAAAATTTGGAAAATAAATCTAATTTATGTTTTTTGGTTGGTAATATAGTAGATAAATATATGCTGATGCTTGATGGGAAATCTGTGCCTGCATACCTTCAATTTGAGACCTCAGTCATGAAAATCGGTTGGGTAGAAGAGCCAAACAAACTCGGTAAAGAAACACCAATTTTTTTAAATATTTAAGATAGGCCTACTTAAAAGTGTCCATGGATTTATTACAAAAATATATGTTACTCAGGAGCTATCTCCTTTAAAGGAGATTGGACAATTATTATTACTACCATGTGGTTCTTGAGCTAGGATCATATCTCAATGATCAACTAACTATACTCAGAAACACAGCTATGCGTGTGTTAAGTGTAGATTTGTGGACTAATGTAGCCTAAGTAGATCTAACCAAAGCCCCACTAGAAAAACAGGCCATGCTGCAGGATCCATGATGTCACACTAGTGGATAGATTTCATTGATAAATTCAATGCCATCACCATTCCCATATGTTTTAAGTAAATAAACAATCTGGCTGTTTGTAAGATTTTAATGGTAAGAGTTTAGTACAACTATCCACCACTGTGACGTAGTGTTGCGCTGCCCGTGCTGCAGCATGGCCTGTTTTTTCTAGTGGGGCCTTGATCTAACACTACACCTATTGATATGTAAGAAATACTGTAATATATACCAGAATATTACATTATAGGCAGATAATACGAAACTACTTATTTATCATAGAAATATATCACTGACTTAAAATGGGGAATTCCTTACTTGATATCAAACTGAAGGTCTGTATGATCAGTCAAATAATGCTCAACAGGAAAAATCTGGGATGGAGCTATACCAACAAGTTGATTTCCCATAATGCAGTGTAATATTTAGTGGACCTGAAAATTAAATGTCACATGATTTTAAGATGTAGCCTACAGATAGTTGCATTGCTTGTAAAACTACTACAGTAGAACCTCGATAATTCAAAAACCTCTATAATGAAGAATGTTTTATGCAATAAAATGCTTATTTCATCTTGTGTATTGCCTTCCGGATTACTTCATGAATGTATATACAAGAGGTTAAGTTACCTTGATTCTGTCCAAGTAATCCTTAAGTCGTCATTAGTGCGACCGGTTTCGATGTCTATGGCATCATTGTCAAGCTGAACGTAAAAATCGCTCCTAGGAGGTCGTCATGAGTCTTGAAAAACACGTAACACATAACACGTACACAAACAAAAAACGATAAAATGCATGGATCCACACAACTAATTTACAACACCGCGGCGGGTACAGGGTGTAGGTCCAGACTGACGCCGTGTCTTCCTCTCCCCACCTTCCCCCTCGAGTTATCAGCTGTTGATAATATTTCATTGATGTTTAAAGCTGTCTCATAAATTATATTTGATTCAAATGAGGATTTATCATTTAGGATGTGTTGGGGGTGTTTTTTGCCGGCCTTGTAAATTTTGTATTTTTGGCGTGAAGCTTGACCAAGTTATCGTTTCATTTAAAACTTCGAATAAACTTTCATCAGTATTAAAAGATAAGAAAACAAACCGTGACGATCAAACAGAAAATTCAGGTGTATACAAACTGAATTGTGACAGCTGTCCAAGCTTTTATATTGGTCAGACTTCACGCCCATTTAAAACACGTTTTAAAGAACATCTCCCGAAACCATCTGTTAACCAACCTAACTCCGCATTTGCTGAACATTTGATTAATAACAACCATGAATATACAGATATCAACACCAATCTAGAAGTTCTACGATCCCATAAAGGAAGAGGAGGATTATTAGATACTATTGAGGAATACGAAATTTACAAGGCCGGCAAAAAACACCCCCAACACATCCTAAATGATAAATCCTCATTTGAATCAAATATAATTTATGAGACAGCTTTAAACATCGATGAAATATTATCAACAGCTAATAACTCGAGGGGGGAGGTGGGGAGAGGAAGACACGGCGTCAGTCTGGACCTACACCCTGTACCCGCCGCCGTGTTGTAAATTAGTTGTGTGGCCATGCATTTTATCGTTTTTTGTTTGTGTACGTGTTATGTGTTACGTGTTTTTCAAGACTCATGACGACCTCCTAGGTGCGATTTTTACGTTCAGCTTGACAATGATGCAATAGACATCGAAACAGGTCGCACTAATGACGACTTAAGGATTACTTGGACAGAATCAAGGTAACTTAACCTCTTGTATACAAAATACTTATGACTTATTAGAATGGAAAAAAGTGAGAGAGCCTGGATAATTTGATATACTAAAAAGAAAACCGAATTAACACTGTACTGCATTTCTTAGCAATCATTGAAAGAGCCGATTTGCAAACTATGGAAACATAGGAAAGTCATAACCACCAAAGAGAAGAAATAGAAATAATGTTCTTTTTTTTAATTTATAATCGTTATTATGGACAACCTAAAGCGGCTATGAGTAAGGTTATTTGTAGAAAACACTAAAAAACAAGATCACCTTTTGAAAAATTATAAGATATTTACAAGAAATGTTGATTATATCGATCTGTTATGTACATCTTCAGTATTTCTATAATTTTTTAGTCGAATCTTTTAAAGTCATCAGAAATTATTACTGTTATTCGTTTTCAAATAACCCCTATAATACTTAGCAATTGCTCGAATTCGAGCAACAGGTACACAAGTAAAGAACATAATGTTTGATGTGTGAAATGAGTTTCATGAATATATTAGAGGATGTTGGTAGGTTAAGCCCGAGAGTTTTTTTTAATAACTAAAGGTAGCCTAATTTGAATTTACTAAGCTGCAATTAATTCGAAGGGATTTGGCGCGTGCACAGAGTGTTTTGATCCTTGAAACATCAAGCATTGTGCTGTATTGGATCTATCCGTCAAGCAGCTGCTCAAATGGTTCAAGGGGTTGCGAGGCGCCTCACAACGTTTGCTTGATGAGTGTGCGGACTCCCATTGATATAGCCTACATGGAGTGCTTGTAACCAGCAAAACATTTTTCCTCGCAAGTTAGTCAGAGCAAACCAAAAGTCGTTTAAAACACTTAAGATTTAAAAAAAAACCAATTAATAAGTTTAAGTTGTATGTATTTTTATTATTCCAGGTTCAAGAACTTGAATTAAATTAGATAACCCTTTTAGCGAATTTCCCTAGAGAGAAATAGTTATTACCGTAGGTCTCATGGTAAGACCTGGGCCTGTGACCGATTTACTTTTTCATTTTGATGTCCCCAGAGGCCAAAAACACTAAATTGTTCATATTTTTATATATGTATATATATATATATATATGACCATGAACGCCATAACTTGAGTAATTTTCGTCCCATTTTGATGAAATTTGGTTTGAAGGTGTAAGACTAGATAAACTTGAATGATTTGGCCTCAAAGATAATTGTTTACCATCAAATCTGAAGACGAGCACTGTAAATAACAATCTCGCTACCCTGATGTTAAGAAGGTTGGGAGTTTTTAAATACAATAGGCCTAGAACACTTGCAGACTTGTTAGCATGCCTTGCTATTTATTGAGAAGAACTATTAGGGAAGAAAATGGAAAAATCTTGAGGTTTGACAGCGAAGCAAGTCATTTTCCAAGACTGGCCTATAAGCTCCTCCGTTCTAAGAGAGCGAAAAAAATCTGTCGGTCGTCCATGCAAGCGAGTCTTGTCTGACGACAGAATTAAGTGTTTACACTGGGCCGTGCAGTCGTCTGACTACAGTTCCCTCGATTCGACCATTTTACCATGTTATCGGTTTGGAAAAGACGTAAGCTCATACAGATTGACGGTTCTTATATCATCTAGATGCTTACCTTAAGAAGAAATCATTGGACCGCAGGAGTTTTTCAAATAAAATTTCCAAGGACAGGTAAGTTACTGTAGGAATTTCGTGAGTTTTATGATTTGAATGAAAAGTTGAGATTGTAGCATATCTTTAACTTTTTTTAACTACACTAGGATATCAGTGGATATATTTTACTAAATTGTCACCGAATCATAGAAGGGCTTTACATTGAAGACTAACTTACAAACACTATGCTAACTTATGCGGAAAATTTTGTGGAAGAACGCCTCATTCTTCAAGGCCTACTATCACAATAACATAGTTGGCTTGACGACCCGCACGACCAATAACAAACATGTTTGTTTTTGATTGGTCGTGTTGGTCGTCCGTTGCCCAACTAACTTGGGATGCTCTCACGCATAACCGCATGATTGATTTTTTTTTGGTGAGACGGATTCGCTTGCACGGACGACCGGTAGATTTTTTGTCATTTAGCTAGGACGCCGCCTAGGGCCTGAGTTTATACCCTAAAAGTTTATTAATAGGCCTATTGACTGTTAGAATCTAGCTCTAGTCTACATCAACTAGGCCTATATACAAGGCGAGTTGAGGGTTGTAACTTAAATAACTACATAGGCTACGCCTAGGTAACTTACACTGCAACAAGCAACAAAATTGTATAAAGATATTAAAGAAATGTAGCTTATATCACTACTATAGTGGTAAACATATTTTGATTATAGCAGGTTTTGTTCACAAGTGATGTTTGGCCTTACAGTGTAGTCTTTTTGTATTTCATTCTATCGCACCAACACACATTATATAAATTTTAACTCACCTATCTCTCTCTTTTTACTATAGTTTAGACTGCTGGAACTGACAACTGATATCTTATAGCTTCACTTCTTGTAATCGAAACTTGAAGAAACTCTAACCAACAAACCAACAAACAAAACCAGCTCTGCTCTGGTTGTTCTGGTTTTCTTTTCTATCTGTTCTGTTTACTTTTACTACACTACACAATCCAGAATCCACTTTCTATCAATTCCCTTCCACTCCTCTAGCAGACAAAAATTTTACAATTGACAAGTAAACAATCACAGGATCAGCACTCCAGACTCCAGTCCAGTTCCAGTTGGCCAGTGATCAGATCAGCCTGTGTCCTGTAAGCAAATTTCAGGGAATAAGCTACTGTATTACCATTGAGTATAAATGTAGGTGTATACCACGGCCGCCTTTAACTACAGGCCGCGGCCTGGTACATGTTTGTGCATGTTTTTATTTCATTATTATTGACTGACTATTGTACGTCAAGAGGACCCAAGAGGATTATAATTTGTGACCTAGCCTATTACTTAAATTTTGAATGGCCCAATAAAATTTTGATTTTGATTTGATTTGGTAGAATTGGCAACGTCGTAAGTGGTGTTGTTTAGTGACAGACGTCCCATAAGATAACACTAGCTGTGTACCCGTTCTACGCACGGGGATCTTATAGTAATCAGTTGAAACCTTCTTATATAAAGAACAGCAATTGGTTTGCATATTTTCAGATATGCTGGCCAAACAATTTATTATACATAACTTCATTTTATGATGTTTGTTGTTGTTCCGGATCGGTATGACAATCAATAAAAGGCTAAATTACCTGTGTCCGCCGGTCGATCCTAATGTATCCTATTACACAAGATGCATTTCGGCGAAATTAAATCGCCATCATCAGTCCTAATATAAGGTCTTGAGCTTCCCCATTAGGTGCGTCTTGGAGTTTTTGAAACACATACACGAACTGTACACTTATATACATGACGAATAAAACATAAATACACGGTAGGCCTACTTTTATTTTTACTATGGACAAGTAGACGTGCGTCGGTCGTGTGCCGAGTCTCGACTGAAAACGCTCATTTAAAAAATGTAAGTTTTCCAGCAATGTACAACACTGATTCAAGGTCTATTTCCCGGTTATCAAAACTCAAGAACAATTTTATACACAAAGAATCTCTATTTTCATTTACTGTTACCCTACATATTATTGCACTTGCGATTAATTAAATCCGTTATGTAAGGAAAAACGTTTTTAATCTTAATTGGTTTGGATTTGCTTTCAAAACGTTATCGGAAATGGTTGCGGTATTTGTAAACAACATTCAATGTATACTTATCAGTGACAGCTAGAAGAAAAGTAATCTTGATTTGAACAGCTGTTCGTTATTTCATAGAAGAATATGTGCTAAACATTGGGAGAAAACTTTACAAAAAATCGCACAAAATTGGGTTTTTAAACAACCGTCATTTTATTTACAAAGTGGTGACGCCATATTTTAATGGCTAAAGACAATCTCGCCAATCCAGTGAATACATTTAAAAGATTTTGAACTTGATAGGTACTCTCGTTTTTCAGGAGTAGGCCGCGTAAAATGGCTCTTGGGTCGTAACAGACAGGAAGACAGACAGAAATTTAGATGAGACTTGTTTCCGTTTCTCTAATGTATAAAACGTAAAAATAACCTAAAAGTTTATGATTCTGAGCAATGTACAGACAAAACTCTAATTTTATTTATACTAGTGGTCGTCCTGTGGTCGAAACTCGACCAAAAATAATTAATGTACAGACTTCTCTATTTTCTCCCCACACTGTCAATTAAACATGTGATTGGAATTTCTTCCATTTGTTTTGATTTTCTGTTTACATTTTGTTGTTATTTCGTCACCATCATGGCAACTCATCTGGTCAATGTTAATTTTATGAAGTTTTCAAATTAATTTTTTGTGCTTATTTGTTAGCCTATTTTAATTTTTAAAGGCATTCTGCACATCTACAGAAAAATATCTTTCCAACAGTATGCATAGACTTTCCTTGCGATGCACACGAGCTGAGAAAAAAGGTTTTAAAGAAACATGCTTGCCTATTAATATATAGATAGATAGATAGATGGCAGACAGGTGACATTAGCTCATTAATTCGCACTTTATTGATTTAAATCTAATTTTATGAACATAAATGTATTAAAATGTTGAAAATAAAACATACAGAATTGAAAATCGAAACAATATAAATTAAAAATCTATATCTGTACATATTTGTGGAGTCAATATTGTCATAGTCCAGTAACCAATCTTTCGTAAATACACAAATACAAATACACTTGCGATGTTGCCACTTCGAAGGCCGCGGCCTGGAGTTAAAGGGGGCCGTGCTAGAGGCCAAAGACATCATCCGTTCAATATGTTAGATATGTGATGTGGAAAGCGAAAAGGGACCTCTTGTCGGAGATACAAAATTTTCAGTACGGCCGATATAAGTAATTCGAAAATATCGAATTTCGGGTTTTTATCGATTATTATACATCATTTAACATAGAAAATGACAGTATCGGTTTAAATCTTGAATTGAAGATGCAAAAGGTCGAAATAAATCATTTTGTTTGCCTCTGCACGGTCTGAGAAAAGGTACCTCTTGTCGCTCGATGTTATTTCGCCATAACGACAAGAGGCCCCATTTCTATCTAATATTCAATTTTTAAACAGACTACAGACTTTAGTCCAAAAAATGAAATGTCCTGCATTCTAGTGGAAATTTAGAGAACTACAACAAAGTTCAGTTCACGAAGAACAAAATATTTCACAAATTTTGTAGTCCCGACAAGAGGTACCTTTTCTTATCTTATGGCGAAAAAACATAGGGCCGTCAAGGAAGTCCCTTTTCTGAAATGCGATTTTTACGACATGCCTCAATGAAAAAATTATTTAAATAAAAACTACCGGAAGTTAAGAAGAAAATTTGCATTTCTTTCAAAGAGGACATTATAAAGCTTTCTTTTGATACCAAAATCGTTTCTAAAATACGAAAAACACTGTTTTTATGCGTATTTGAAATTTTCAAAATAGTTTTTCTCAAAATGACCCTTTTCAATAACAACATTTCAAAGTCTTATAACTTTACCACTCCACATGGCCGCCTTTAACTCCAGGCCGCGGCCTTCGAAGTGGCAACTTCGCAAGTGGTGTTATAACAGCTGTTTAGTTTGGTAGCAGCTAATGGTATTTTGTGTATTTAAGAAAGCTTGGTTACTGGACTATGACAATATTGACTCCACTTTAAAAGTACAAAAATTGATTTTCTATTTAAATATTGCTTTTGTTTTCAATTTTATATGTTTTATTTTCAATCTTTCAATAAATGTATGTTTATACATTTTAATTTTAATAAATAATACGCGAAATAATGAGCTGGTGTCACCTGTCTGCCATGTTATGTTATGGGACGTCTGGCGCTAGACAACACCACTTCCGACGTTGCCAATTCTACCAGGCCACGGCCTGTAGTTAAAGGCGGCCGTGACTTCACCACTGCACCGTGCAGAACTAACAATAAAATTGGCTTCTTGTGTTCCATTTACCATACCATCGATGTCTTCTCCGCCATCCTCGTTCCTCGTATACAAGGGAATCGTCAATTTCTTGTGTGAATGTGTATGTGTGGGACTGTACTTGAGCATTGTCTTCCTATTTATTGTTTAGGAGGCTATATTGTGTTTCTTAATAATTTCGTTTATTAATTTTGTTCCATAAGGATGAGAAATCCCTAAGGGAGTATGTTTTATCCATGGTGAAACTGTCACATAGTGCATAAGCATACAGTTCCTAATTCTTATGGAGCATTACAGTGATTACAGTTATGTCCTAGATGACAACATTTTAAGTATACACTGTAAGACAAATTCATGATTAAGCAATTAATTTATGATTATGCACTATGAGACCCCACGGACATTTTGAGTGTACAACAAGGCTGCATACTATAAATTAAGCCTGCTTTCTAGCAAACCAGATGAAAAAAATGTCTTTTCTTTTCTACTGCTAGGTTCAACACTGCTCTGCTCTGCTCCTGCTCTTTTAGAGGTTAAGGTTATCAGAGAAATTAAATTTGTGACAACTAACTGAACTAGTTTATTTATAGCCTTATAATTTGTGTGCTCCGTTAGTGGGTGATTTGAAGATTATGGGCGGAGGTCAAAGCACAAGAAAAATTCAAATCGATAATGACGAGCCTGTTGGGATAATAAAAGCCTCCGAAAATGTTGTTCAACGACTCAAGAGTACTAATGGTGGAGGAAGCAACATAGGTGCTAGTTCTAACTATACTCAGCCTAGTAGTCCGGATAAAATGTCTAACAACAGTCAAAACCAGAGTCACCAGGTCCCTGCTTATATTCCTCAGCCGTATGTTACCTCCTCAATGGTTAGAGAACAGGTCGAAAAAGAACTGGAGAAAAATGATCGTTATTGGGAATCAAGGATCAGAGGTTTACAAGAAAACCAAAACAAGCTAAGTTATATAATGGAATCAGAGTTCAACAAAGCCTACAAAGAGGTGGGGAAAAACTTCCCTGTAATTGCACCCAAGAGTGTTGTAATGCCATGTCAAGATATCAAGACAAAATTAGTAGATTGTTTCAAGAACAACGCCAATCAAACTTTGAATTGCAGTAAGATCGTAAATGAATTTACATCTTGTGTTAGTAACTCAAGACCCAAAAATCACAGTGAAGTTCGAAGTCCATAACATCTTTTACTGCATTAGACACTTAAAGAAAGAGGTCAGTAAGTTAACTTGAAAATACCGCACTGAAAATCCATGACACTTTTTCACTTAATCGTATGTTATCTTAGGGTTTGTTTTAAGTTGCAACATCTTAGCAGTGTTTCCATACGCTGGATTATTATCCCGAAAACATGAGTTTTAGACCATGAGCGGGATTAAAACGGGATGTGGGATGAAACGGGATTTTTGGCTCTGACGTTACAGCCGCTGACTTGACCCGTTTCTCCCCGGTACACGTTCATGTAAACGTAGACTTAGCCCGTTCTTTCCCAGGTGCTCATATTTGAAGCATTTATTTCACCATGACTAGACCCGTATTTCCCAAGTATGAGCATACCACCGTTTAGAGCTTGAAAAGCACTACAAAATGGTGTTTTAAACCAAAAATTACAAAAAAATTGACTTAACCCGTTTTTCCCCTGGACCCTTCAATTGGTTTACATGAAGCTTTCCATGGTGAAAAAGTTACCTATGATTCGCAAAAACCTTTTTTGGACTTTGAAAATTCTATTTATATCTGTGGAGTAGCCCCAAAATTCAATTGAAGTATGGAGTAACATCACTGACGTTTTTAAGTCTATTGTTTCCCTTAAACATAGAATTTGGAAACAAGCAGAGTTGAGTTTGCCCAAAACATATTTAACACACCAATCCCACCTATCCCACTAAACATTACTTTCATCAATATTCACACTGGTTTGAATAATGATATGTTCAAACCATGATTAAACTTTATGATTTAAAAAGAAAATGTCTGCAAAAATGGCAATTTGGCTTTAAGTTACTATATGGAAACTACCTGGCCACTCCGAGGGTTAACATTTTAATTTACATTTTTCAGTCTTCCTCAGGTAGGCTACATACAACAGGTTGGCCGAACTGGACATTCCCGATTGGATTAGCAACATTTTTAAAGCGATTCATGACTTAAGCTGGTGTATGAAGATGAAAGTTGGTCTGATTCACTGTGTTATATTTTTGTTCCAGAGGGTTTAGCACCAGTTGAGGACTTCAAACTCGTAAAAGTCAATATGAAGAAGTGCTGACATGCAGTAAGCATTAGATAGTTGATTAAATGTAGCCTACTAGTTTTACTTTGTCATGTTAGCATTTCAGAATTGTTACAGGTTAATTTGTTCCATCTACCATTATTATTTGACTGAAATTAATGAAAATATACTGTAAATACATATTGTTTTGTTGTTTAAATAAAGTAGAATGATATTATCTTTTTCTTGGCACTTAATTTAACACCACCTCATTAAAATATCTCTTACAAAATAAACACAAAATACCCCCGCCGCAGCAAACCTGCGTGAAAAAACCAAGTGAATTTCCATTTTCCTGATTAGATTTTCAATTAAATCTACGCAGAGGATACGCGACCGGTAACCGGACGTGGATTAGGCGTCCGGCAGTTACTGTCATAACCTAACCTAACCAACCAAACTTGCTGATAGTGGAAAAAATCAAATGAAGGTTCAATCCTCTTCATAACATAAAATTATAAATGCCGAAAATTCTAACAAAAGATGTACAGTTAAGAAGAAATTACATTCAAAGCAAAATCTGTGACAAAAAGTTAAAGATACCGAAGGGTTTCGAACCGGGGACCTTTCGCATATCAGCCAAGCACTCTATCCACTACACCACGAACACTGATGGCTTATCATCGTATCATTGTGGTAATGGCGTTCCGGGACCCCCTACCGGACGCCTAATCCACGTCTGGTTACCGGACGCCTAATCCACGTCTGGTTACCGGACGCGTATCCTCTGTGTTAAATCTATTTGAATAACACTAGGTTTAACAAGTACCCAGGTTTGTTGCAACAGGGAGGGTAATAAATTGTGTTTTATAGTAAAATATCAATAGCTAAGTGTTTTGTAAAATAAATAAATATGTAAAGCTTGATCAAAATATCTATATATTAATACGCAAGCAGTTTTATTTTCACAGTCATAACTCGATAACGGCTTGACGGATTTTAACGTTTGAAGTGTCAAATTAAAGGTATTTTCACGTAGATGTGCAAATACGTCAAGGAATTATAAAAAAGGGCATCACTTAAGGGCTTAAGTTTGGGAATGGCGGCTATTGACATTATATCAAAGTCAGTTCCCTTTGTTTACAACTAAACATATGGACGTAGTTTGAAATAGTTTTTTTTTTAAGTCAACCACAAACTGCAGGACTTATTACTTCCAGAGCAAAGCCGAAATTAATATTTTTTATTTAAAAAGTCTGGTTCATAAATTAATACTTTCCTAGCAAGACTTGACAACAAAATGTTTGTAATAGTTGAATTTATTTACCTTACATCTTATTTTACTGAATTATCGTGTTGTTTTGGTTACAGTTTGGTGTGATGAAATGAATGTTTGAAAGTGATTATTTACAATGCAGTTACCCGTTACATTACAATATGTTACGTACTTATTGAATTAAATAATTATAACACATAATTGTAAGAAGTAAAAATAATGTCTTGTTTTTATTCATTTCTCAAACTTAGAATTGTAAATATTACATCAGCTGTAAATACAAATAAAATTAATTAATGAGTCCAGACTAAGACCGGGCGTATGCTGAGACGCACGTGACACAACGCACGCAAGCCAAGTTTTTCGGCGCAAGCCACGCAGCACACGCATTTTTGACTAGCGCATGCTGAGACGCAGCACACGCAACACATGCACTACGCAGTCACCAAGTAGTATTAACAGATTTTCAGCTGTTGTAAACAGTTGTAAATTTCGATTGTTGCAATTGTATCGATAAACACTTGCTTATTTGCATTAGCAGAATTGAAAACAAGCTGGAAGTCGTTTTGAGAGGTTATCTTTACATAAAAAACATTTTCTCTATTTTTGTTGTTAATTAATGATTCAATATGACGAAAAATATAGTTCGCCACACGGACAAAAAGTGACTTTTTAACCCTCGCTGATTTTCCGACCACTGCTTCTCCTCGATGGTAAAAAAGAGTCACTTTAGGCTCTAGTAATGAAATATATTATTTATCTTAAATTCTTTTCTAAAGCTACTCGTTCAGGAGTTACAGCTTGTTGCGTGGTGGTCTCTTGTCTGTGGTTGCACCTAAGAAAAAATGGCATGTGGTATACATTCTGCTCCTGTACCTCCTAAACCAGTAAGTTTTGAGAGGAAATTCAAAGAGTAAATACAGGGTTGGTACGGTCAGGGAAAACCTGGAAAACCTGGAAATGTCAGGGAATTTTGTTGGTCTGGAAAAGTCAGGGAAAAGTCAGGGAATTTTGGAAAAAATCTGGAATTTCTCTTGAAAGACTACATTTTTTACAGATATGCTACATTTTGCATCTAGGTCTCAATACTTGGTCAAAAACATCGAAGTTTGACGAAAACATCGATGTAACAAAAACATCTGGAACCTACCATCGTTATAAAAAACATCGAACATCGACAGACATTCTATCATCACCCTCTGATTACTGGCTTAATTGAACGCACCGAGCTCCCAGTGTTTCTACACAACCAAAAGAATATAATCCCGGTCACTTGGTTAAGAAATCCCGTTTAATCCCTTAAGATTTTTGATGTTAAATTCTGAGTGTTGAATTGGACATATTTCGTTTAAATAGTTGTTTTAACATTGCTATTATATTTTGTTAAGGTAATTTTTTCAATTGGGGTTAGTTTTTCACTAAAATAAAAGCATAGTAAATAAAAACGGACGTCATAGCTAAAACTCCTGTTTTATCCCACATCCCCTTCAAATCCCGCTCATGCTCTAAAAATCCTGTTTTCGGGATCTTATCTTATCTTATCTGACAGGGGCAGGTCTTTAAGAGACCTTTAAGCACTTCATCCGAAATCGAATTATTTGGGGTGCGCAATAATTGCTTTCTTGTTGACCTACAAGTTAAGGCGCCCAATGAATGCCTGTAGCTTCCCAATTAGTTCATCCTCAGGAAGGTATCTACCTCTAGCCATATTTCCAAGAGTTATCGATCTAGCGTCAAAGAGCTCGTTACAATCAAAGAGTAAGTGATCAGCTGTCTCTTCTGACCTATCACAGTACCTACAGATCGGTTCACCATCATATAAGCCCATCCGTTGTAGATGTTTCCTGAATCTTCCATGACCAGTTATCAGTTCAACAATTAATTTAATTCTTCGTCTGTCTAGTCTCAAGAGGTCACAGGCAACCTTTTTAGAAGGCCTAAACAGAGTAAGCTGGCTGACCCTAAGAAGGGGAACATCGACCCAGCGTTTGCGATGCTTTTCCTTGGCCCATGACGCAATCGCAGAACATGCACTGTTTCGTGAGATGCCACAGAAGGGTTGTGGGCCTATCATTGAAGTCGCAGAGGCAGTATTTGCCAATCTGTCTGCAGCTTCATTTCCTTTAATGCCTGAGTGTCCTGGCACCCAGCAAAGCGTAAGGTCATTTCTCCTACCCAACTCAGACACAGAAGCAAAACAATCCCACACGAGCCTGGAGTTGAATTCGTAAGAGTTTAATGCTTTTTTAAGGTCGCTTGACTATCAGTATAGATATTGATTGTTTTGTCTCTGATATCTTTGTTAAGATGTTCTTGAGCACAAACTAGAATGGCAGTGACCTCCGCTTGAAAGACAGTTGGGTACACCCCCATTGGAAGACAAATGCCAGTGCCTCCATTCATCCAATGCACACCTGCTCCAGTGCCCCCATTTTTGATCTTAGAAACATCAGTATAGCATTCTAAATCACCTGTGGGTATGGGTCCTTTTCCGCCAGACCAATCCTTCCTATCTGGTATTAGTACTTTGAAAGGCTTTCCAAAGGAGTATTTTTTGGACATGTGATCTGAAGGCAAGTGCAATTCATCATTATGTACCACCTGAACAATTTTGGAGTGCCCTTTATTGTTTCCTGAGGTTATCCATAAGTATTCGCATCTAAGGCGTTGGGCTGTTTTACTTGCTACCACCTTGATGTAAATGTCGATAGGTAGCATATCAAGCAGACAGTCAAGAGCCGCTCCAGGACAGCTGCTTACTGCCCCAGTTATCATTATAAGAGCAAGCCTCTGAACTCCTGCTAAAGCTTTGACAGCTATAGTAGATTCCATCTTTGGCCACCACACAAGCGAACCATATGTAAGGGCGGGTCGAACAACAGATACATACAGCCAGTGCATAAAAGTTTAGGCTGTAACCCCCATGTGCCACTTACCATCCGCCTGCATGCCATAAGGGACCATTTGCCACGCTCAGTGACTTTTTGAAGATGTGGTCCCCAGTGAAGTGATCTGTCCAAAATTACACAAAGATACTTCACCTGATTCTGCAGCTCTATTACAGTGCCCTGCAGTCTTAGTGGGCCGATCCCATCCAGTTTCCTCCTTCTTGTGAAGGGTACTATTACAACTTTCCTGGGATTTATAGAGAGCCCATCTTCCTGGTACCAACGGTCCACTACCCTTAAAGCTCTATTCATAAGGTCAGTTATGGTTCCGTGGAACTTTCCAACCACAAGGATTGCAACATCATCAGCATAACCTAAGGCGAAAACCCCACTTTTGTTGAGTGTCCTTATAAGGTCGTCTGCTACCAAATTCCAAAGGAGAGGAGAGAGAACCCCCCCCCCCCCCTCTGAGGGCATCCTCGAGTAGTTCTTGCCTCGATCGTGTCATTATGGAGTGAGAGCCTAACCTTCCTACTGTGAAGCAAGAATTCAATCCATCTACATATTATACCGTGAAAACCTCTTCCTCTCACCGCATTAAGAATTGCTGGAGTACCAGTATTATCAAAAGCACCTTGAATATCGAGAAAGGCACCCAGGGCCACTTCACTGCTCTCTAGAGCTTTCTCAATCTTGCTTACAAGTTGGTGCAACACAGTCTCGCATGATCTTCCTGAGACATACGCATGCTGATTATTATGAAAAGGATGTGTCCTAAGAGCTGTATCCATCATATATCTTGAGACCAACTTTTCTAGGATCTTAAGGAAGAAAGAAGATAGAGAAATGGGTCTAAATGACTTAGGATCAGTGTAACTATCCCTTCCTGGTTTAGGAATAAATGCGATACGTGAATTACACCACCCTAAGGGAATGTGTCCTAAGGCTAAGCTGGCTCTGAAAAGTTTTCGGGATAAGTTAATAATCCCACGTATGGAAACACTGCTAGTACCGGGATGCGCGGAAGGATAGGCCTACATTCATCGTTTCAATTTCAATACGATACTGAATACAAT